ACTTGATCCTGTATTTTTAGTAACAAAAATTGATAGCAGATCGAGATATACACATATTAACAACGTGTATTTTTTGTTGTTGTTTGTTTCCTTCTTTTTATTTTATTGAGTGTCGTCGAATAAATTGAGATACACAAACCATATTCTGTTTCCTTTCGTCTTACAAATCCACTTAGTTTTCAATTGGTTTGGCAATCGTCAGGATTCGGGTGAATTCGACAACTGCAGCAATCACATTTCCATAGCAACAGAATAGATGGGGGAGGGGTCAGTTGTGCATTTGCAATAGTCACTTGATCCTGTATTTTTAGTAACAAAAATTGATAGCAGATCGGGATATATACATATTAACAACGTGTATTTTTTTTGTTTGTTTCCTTCTTTTTATAAATTGAGTGTCTTCGAATAAATTGAGATACGCAAACCATATTCTGTTTCCTTTCGTCTTACAAATCCACTTAGTTTTCAATTGGTTTGGCAATCGTCAGGATTCGGGTGAATTCGACAACTGCTCTTAGCAATCACATTTCCATAGCAACAGAATAGATGGGGGAGGGGTCAGTTGTGCATTTGCAATAGCAACTTGATCCTGTATTTTTAGTAACAAACATTGATAGCAGATCGGGATATACACATATTAACAACGTGTATTTTTTTTTTGTTTGTTTGTTTCCTTCTTTTTATAAATTGAGATACGCAAACCATATTCTGTTTCCTTTCGTCTTACAAATCCACTTAGTTTTCAATTGGTTTGGCAATCGTCAGGGTTCGGGTGAATTCGGCAATTGCAGCAATCACATTTCCATAGCAACAGAAAACATTAGAAGAGATGAGGGAGGGGTCAGTTGTGCATTTGCAATAGTCACTTGATCCTGTATTTTTAGTATTTATTTATAATAATAATAATAATCCGTACGATGTTCGTCCGTACCGTACCGCAAATAAGTAATAGTAGTTAATAACATCAACTTAAATTTTATGTACAGCCAAGTTAAATATTAAAATAGTTATCTCGTATAGAGATATACACATACACACATATATATATGTATATCTCGATGAATATGTCCCCTTTTTCTTTCAATCTATATTTATCATTTCTTTTCATTATTTCTTAAATTCAAAATAAACAGTCTATATAAAACATATATATATAAATATATATCATACAAAAAGAGGAGGAGCCTCGAGGTTCGCCCATCATAAAAATTTAATACTGATTGTAGTCTGTCCAAACAACAAAATCATCAACTTTTCTTCTTCACTCTCAACCACACTTTCCTTCTTTACAGTTATATTTATTTATTTATATTTATATATATAATTTTGTACATTTTCACGGGCGAACCTCGCGGCTAGACGTGTGCCACCGAAAAAAAAAAAAGGAGACGCCCTTCTCGCCTGTCCCGCCCCTCACAGCAAAACAAATCTATTGCAGCTTGACGACGATCCTCCTCCTTCCTAACCGGAGGACGTGGAAATGGGCGTGGCCGAGCTGATGCGTCGCGCCGCCATTGGTTCAGCTATAAATTCGAGAGAGAATGATGGGCGTGCACGCACACACCCTCCTCATCAATTCGCACAAACACACCATCATAAGAAATAAAAATAAAGTAGAAAGAAAAATCAAATCCAATTGAAACGTGAAATAATACAAATTTTTAATAAATATTACATATCCTTGAACATTGTTTCATGATTTTTTTTTTAAATGTTTTTTTTTTTTTGTTACTCATGGCAACACATATATATGTATATGCATGTGTTCACGCATAAACATAACATTATATAATAATAATAATATATATAAGTGCGAAATTTACAATGTTATATTAATTAAATCGAATGCACAAATATTGTACTTGTGCACGCATAGAAATTCTTTTCCAATGTACAAGTTCTTTTTAGATCCATTCCTGAAGTATTTACAATGGATGCCAACTAACTAACTAATCAATTATACACATATAATAAGTATTTACAAAGTAGTGTTTTGTCTGCGCTTTGTACGGTATGTGTGTGTGTGTGAAAGTACGTGTTCATGCGTGTGAGTAAGAGAAAGACAGAGGCGGAATGGAGTGGTTGCGGTGGGAGTTAAATCTATTTTTTACAATCGGCAAAGTTCGTACGTGTCTTCACTACTAAATCTATACACTACAACAACTACCTCCTCCTCCATCATCTTCGTTACAATTATCATCATCATCATCATCACAAGTGTCATGATCGCAAGTGATGTTTGTTTGTTTGTTTTGTATCTACTTTACATTAGCAACGCTCCGCCCACCCCAAACAACTGTCTACACTTTGCACCTAACGACCGTTCGTACATTTCCATGGAGACGAAAGAATGAGGAAACACGAATAATATTATATATAGTAAATGGAAAAATAAAAAAAGAACGGTTGTTGTGCCGCTGTCACACAGCAACCAGCAGCACCCTAACCAAATAATAATAATAATAAATACAAATAGAACAAAAACAATCGCGAGAATTATTACATACAAGTATATATATATATATATATATGTGATATAAACTAAAACAATTATAAAAAAGAAAACGAATTTTCTCTAATTGCAGATAATAATTATTATTGTTTATATATAAATATATATATACGTCTCGAGATCAAGTCGTCTCTCCCTAATGAAAATAAATTTTGTACTCTTCCGTTATGTGTAAAACAAACAAAAAAAAAGCCATCGATGGGCGGACCGTCGAAGCACCTCCTCCTCACACACGCACACATACACCCCTACTAAATCGTAATATAAACATAAGCACGCCCACGCTCTCACACATACAGCGCTGAGACATTTATATGTACAAAAGGGATATATAATTGAAAAATAATTATGTAGATGTGATATCTAGGGAAAGATTGGGGGAGTAATTCGCTGTATGAATTCGGGTGGGCGTGTAGAAAGAGAGCGGGGGGGAGGGTCGTGGCTTTCGAGATCCGCCCACTCGAGGGCAGGATTACATCCTACACATTTATTCACTCTGCGTGTATATTTATAATATTACAAGTGTGAAACAAAAAAAAAGAAAAAAGAAAAACCTCCGAGAATAGTAATGTTAATAATAGTTATAACTAGAAAAAATAAACAACTTAAACTATAAATATATGTATACATATAGAAATATATATATATACGTGTCTATGTCTGTCTGTCTGTCTGTATATACACTAAGTGTTCATATATATATATAATTAATTCATAAATTAATCGTTTAATACTAAAATAAAAAATAATTTTATTCACAAAAAAAAAAAGAGTTATTAATTGCACGCAACTGACTTGATGTGTGTGTGTGTGTGTTTGTGTAAGTGTGTTTTGGGGGGAGGAAGGGGATTTGTTGTTGTGGTGGTGGGGGTGGAGGAGAGTTGTGTACTGGGTGGTGGTTCTGTGCACTGGGTGTGTTTTTCTTTTCTATTTGTGTTTTCTTTCTTTTTGTTTGTTTGTTTGTTTGTTTTAAAGCTCCGTTTTTGGATTCTGTTTCGTTACAGTTTCCGTTTAGTCGTTTCTTTCGCGAACGCTTATATTATTATGATTTGTCTCTCTCGCTCTATCGCTCTCTCTCTCTCAATTTGATTTGAGTCTTATCGAACTTTTCATACAGAACATGTTAGTTACCACACATTTTATGATGAGATGATCGTTCTTCACGGCGGAAACACGCACTTCTTCCCCTACTTCTTCTACAACACTGTTGGTGGTTTGTTGCCATGATCCGGAGGCGGCGAAGGATTCCTCCCCTCGTACGGAGCGTCATCGTCTGCAAAAGCACAACAGTTCATTGCACCGAACTCTCCTCTTTCTCTCTCTCTCTCTCTCTCTCTTCGCAATCTCCAACGCATTCTACACTTGCTTTGATTCTACTGTTAAAAGCCATGTTTCAATTAAACTTTGTTAATTTAACAATGATGTTGATAGTATTTCGTAATTGTTTGTTTGTTTGTTATTCGTGATTAGTAGCAGGTCACATCATATCAATCACTTACCGATAACAGATCCGTATGTGGTGTAATTGGTGTTCGGATAGACGGGATTGTTGAAGGGCGGCACGTAACTGCCCACCGTATCGATGACCTCCTCGTCGTCGGGCGTGTAAAAAGGCACCACCCGCTCACCGGCCTTCTTCTCTTCTTCATCTGCGTCCACATCGTCTTCGTTTGTGCCGCCGGTTGAGGCTGTTCCAACAACGGTCGTAGTGGCGGCAGCGGCGGTGGTAACTGCAGAATAAAAAGCGGCCGCGGCCGACTCGGGCATTTCAAGCTCCGCCGTTCGCGCTCTCCTCTTTGCATCCTCGTAATCTGCGACAGATTCTGTATCGTTGTCACGGATGATGAATAGCGTGCCGTGATGCTCGGATGATTTTCTCTTAGCGCCGCAATCCAACTGGACGTCCATATCATCCGGCGGCGATTCCTCATCTTCCTCCTCCTCCTCCTCCTCCTCTTCGCACGAAGAGATAGCGGCGGTTCGTTGCATGTCCTTCGGACCTAAAGAAGAAAGAACGCAATGACAATGGGTTTTTTTTTAGAAATAAATATCTCGTTTCGACGGATCTAACCGGTTCTCTTTGAATCATCGTCGACGGATAATCCGAGCGCTTTTTTCAATCGCAAACTGGCACTTTCTCGCTGCCTTTCCAACTCTGTCGGCTCCGAGTTGAATGCGGAGAGAGCTACAAAGATCAACGTGTAAGTGTGATTGTGAGGACTTTTCTCTTTTGCTGATGATGGATGTAGCTAGTTGTACTCGACGACATACCTTTGACCTCCGGTGCGGCGAACGTCAGCAGACTGACGACGGTCGCGTTCTGCTGTCCAATGTTCCCCCCACCAGTTACATTGGTTGTGTTCATCATCATCATGTTCTCCTCGTCCGAGGTGGAGGCAGAGGTGAGGCTGCTCGTGCTATTCGATCTTGTCCTGTTCATCAGCTTCGGCGATTGCGACGAATTGCTCTCGTCCGCAAGGGACATCTCATCGCCGACGCTCTTCTCATTGTTATTCGTTTGTTTCTTCCGCTGGCGGTACTCTGTTATGGAAAGCTAAAAGAAGAAAAGAAAAAAACACAACGCGTTATTTCAGTTGAACAATTACTACTACTACTACTACTACTCACTTTTCGTTTGGCCGGCGTGATCGCCTCCGGTTTCTTTGCGTCTTCGAAGCCGAGGAAACTCAGGGTCTTCTCGACGGTTCCCACCAGCTGTTCGCTGTTCAATCGTGGCGCAAGTCGCGGATCCATCAGGATGCTGCGCTGCGTCGGCAATGGTGGAGGAGGTGGAGGCGGTGGCGGCTGTTCCGGGGGTGGCGTCGGCTGCTGCGGCGGAGGCGTGTCCTCCTCGTCGCGCGGCAATTGGATGCAGCTGCCGTATTCCTGCCGCATCTCCGTCGCCAGTTCGTTGAGCGTTGCGTCCGACTCCATCAGGATGGAATTGTCCTGGTCGTCGGTGATGGGCGTTACGATTTCCACTTGGGGCGGTGCCAGATTCGTGGGGGTGCTCGGTGGCGATCCTTCCGCTGACAGAGATTCCCTCGGTAATCGTCGCTTCTTCGGTGGCGCAACAGAATCCGAAGAGTTACCACCGGCCTGCGGCGGTGGACTGTCGCACTGGTCTTCGCTGATAGCCTGTCGCAGCCATCGTTTCTTCGCCGACCCCGATTTTGGTTTATCGCAGAAGGTGGCTGCCTGCGCCAGCGTGTTCAGGCTCTTCGCCGCCGGGAAGTAGTGTGGCGTAAGTGATGAGGGTGAAATCGCGCTTGCCGACTGCACCACTTCGCTCTTGTTCAACCACTCGTTCATCAGTCCCTTCTTCGTCTTGGGAAATTTGAAGCCGGGCTCCAGAGGTTCTACCGCTGCGGCCACCAGGAGGCAAGCCGACGATAGTGGCGTCTCCGGGGAAGAATGTGCAGAATTCGAGTTGGAATCCATGGTCCGTTCTGGTGACTTTCTAGATACGTCACCGTTGGCCAAAGCGAGTAGCAGACCTGCTGCTTTCGTCGGTGACGAGGATTCAGAGGGTGGCGACATCAGCGTTTCGTCGCTGCTGTGCAACGATTCGGCGGAATCTAAACGATTCCTACGGGTGTTCGTGCTCGCGGTTCGCGATCGACCCTTGCGTTTCTTTCGTTTCAACTTTGATGAATCTTTTGTGCCGCCGCCACCGCCGCTCTCCTTCACCTCCTCTTTGGTAGCCGGAGTTGCTGCTACAGTATTCTCAGTTTGAGTCTGACCCGGTGGTGGATGATCCGTCTCTTTTCTCGTGGCTTGTTTGGCCAAATGTTCCTGCCGCCTTTGCTCCTGCTTTTCCATGCGTTCGATTGCCTTCATGATCGCGGCCAACTTTCGCTCTTCCCTGCTAGGTTTCTTATTTTTATTTGTACCTTCCGTGCTCTCCGAGCTCGTGTTGTGATGATCTTGATTGGTGTTGTGCTGTTCTTGAGCATGTCGTGATGCTCTCCGCGTCGTTACCGGCGGCGGCGTCTGTTCGACATCCTCCTCCTCCAGCTCCTTACTATCCTCCTTACCATCGACATCATCTTCATCGACAAACGGTTGTTCCGGTTCCACCTTAACCTCCTCCTTCTTCTTCACCTCCGCCACAACAACAACTTTACCGCTCTGCTGCTGCTGCTCGTCCTCCTCTTCCTCTTCATCCTCCTCCTCCTGTTCATCCTCTTCCATCTTGTCATCCTCCTTGATTGCCTGCTCAAGCTCTAGCTCCTTGCTATGTGCCTCCTGATGTTTGATTGTATGCTCCTTTACTGGCGACTGTTGTTGTTGTTGATCGTCCAGCTCTCGCGCTTCTTCGACCTTTGATTTTATTTCGTAAATGTCGTGGTGTACGGTGGCCATCTCCGCTCTCTGATGGTTGTTGGTCTGTTGTTGATGACCCAACGTCGCAGACTGCGATGATATCATAGTTGTGGTGGTGGTCGTCGTCGTCGTCGTAATGGGTGATGGCTGAGACTGCTGCTGCTGCTGAGGTTGCGGCTGTGCTGCAGGCTGAGGTGACGTCAGGCTGCTGCTGCTGTCCCTGCTCTGCCTGCCTGCCCCCCTTCGCTTACGTCCTTCCGGTGTATCGTTGTTGTTACCGTTGTGCCGCCTGTGTCCTTTGATGAGGGCGCAATATTCGGGATTGATGCAGGCGCATGGCACCTCCGTTATGTGGGCGGCAGCCAGGTCGTGGCTTTCGTGTCGGATCGTCAGCTCCGCCCCTTTGTCCACGCTCTTCGTCGTCACTACGTACAAATGTACGGCACCCTTCTCCAACACTAATTGCAGTTCCGCGTTTGGAGTGCACGACCTGCGGATGAATCGCGCACAATTACCGTATGTGCGTGTGTCTACGCACACCTCTGTGTCTTTATTGAAAGTGTGGAAGAAGAGGAAGGGTCCGGGTCGTTGTTGGCGCGTGGTCGCCCTGTGCTGCGTGGACAGCATATATTTGCCTCTCAATTCTATCACTGGAGTTCCCAGAGGCAAGGACACCGACGCTACCAAACACTTGACTCCGCCCTGCGGCGGGATGGTGGTCACTTTGCACTTGTTCACCGATGGATCCACGGAACCGCTCAGCTCCGAATGGGCACCGTTTTTGATGCTCTGTATTCGGGCACGCAGCTCGGGCGAATAGTGGTTCGTCACAGCCTCCTCGTAGTTCTCGATCCATTGCCGTAGCTGCGGCATTTTTTCGTCATCACTCTTCGCTTGCACCGGCTGCTTCGATTTGCTGCTCCTCTTGCTCGGCAGCTTCCGTTCTTTCCTCTTGGTCGGCCTTGTGCTCCTGTTCGTCAGCGAATCTCGTCGCTGTCTCCTGGGCGGCGGCTCTTTTCGTCTGTTACTGCTTTTCTGGCTTTCTCCGTCCGACGAATCGCTGTCCGTCATCGCTAGTTGCTCCTTTCGTAGTCGCGCCTCGCGTTCCTGTATGTCCCTCATCCATTGCTGCTGCAACGCTCGCGCCTTCTGTCTGTCCGTGTGTTTGCTGGGATCGCACTCCTCGCACAGATAATCGTCGGGCACTTTTTTCGTCTTGACCACGCACCTGACGTGCTGCCAGACCTTGCACTTATCGCACTCGATCATGTAGCCGTCGTCGTGTATGAAACCGCAGATGCACCTCGTCACGTAATCCCCGTACCTGTCGTTGGCCTCGTTGGTGACGGCGGCCTCCGCCTCAGGTGCAGTGTCAGTCTCTTCGCCTTCCGTATCCAGCTTCCTGTTCTCCTCGCTGATATCGGATGCTGCGTCCTCTTCCCTCTCGCGCTGTTCCCGTTCCCTTTCTCGCTCTCGTTCTCTTTCCCTCTCACGCTGTTCCCTTTCTCTCTCCCTTTCCCTTTCGCGCTGTTCCCTCTGGTGCATCATCGACTGAGACGTTGTTCGATTCCGTTTGACCGCCGTGATCCCTAAAAAACAATCGAAACAACAAATATAAAATCATGAACATGACAAAGTAATTGTAAATACTGACCGCTGTTGTAATTCTGCACAGGTGAAAACTGTTGCGTGCCGTTCATCTGTGGCACTACAGGTACCGGAGGAGGCGTCGGCTCTGCCGGCAGAGTTGCATTATAGTTATGGTCCAGAAGTACCGCCTGACACACGAAGGACAGAGTGTCCAAGGTGCTGATCGGTTGCGGCTTGGCCTCCCTGATCTCCTGCGGCTGCGGTTTAATAGTCGGCGGTTCTCGATGTTGATGGTGTTGCTGATGAAGATGATGATGGTGATGATCCACCACCGGCTGACATTTGTTGTCGTACTTGGAATTGATGTAGGGATACACCTTGTTGCCTGCAACTGGCGGCATGGTCTCCTTATCGGAAAGGGTCTCGAGTATCTGCGCTGTCAGCGCCTGATTGAAGATCATCTGAGCGGAAGGTTCGGATGTGCTACTGTTGTGCTGTTGTTGTTGCTGCTGCTGCTGAGCGACGGCTGACCTCCCCGGCATCGTCTTCGTCTTCAACTTGGGTTTGATCTTTTGCGCCTGCACCGCGTGTTTTCCAATGTAATTGGGTTTGTTGGGTGGCAGCTGTGAGGCGGCGATGGCGGTCGATCTCTGTGGCGGTATCGTCCGAAGACCAGTGCCGGTGCGCTGCACCGCTCCCGGTCCAACGTGCTTCACGTTGAACGTGGAAGCGGCGGCGGCGGCGGCAGTTGTGGTCGTCGCTGCTGCTGCAGCTGCCGCCGCCGACGATGACGTTCTATAGGTGAGCGTTTTAAGGTGGCTCTTGTGTGTGGGGTACAGCACTCTCTTGCCACCCTCTTGTTGATGTTTGTTCAGGTACTTGGTGGCGCCGTTTCCGACGACTTTCGGCTGGAAGTAGCGCTGGGTCTTGTTCAATAAAACGTTGCCGGAGCCTCCCACGACTCCGCCCACCGCCGTTGCTGTTACGCCAGCTCCGCCTTGGACGACGTTCGCGCTGCCTCCGGGCATGACGACGTTACTCAAGATCTTAACTTTACTGGTGTTTAACGACCGTTGACCATTCGCCGTCTTCAATATTGGTCCTGTCCCAAGGCTGGGTATTACCTGCAAAACATGCATGCGTCAGTCAATTTAAGTTTGTTTTAATATTATTAAATTTTAAACTCACGTTCGTGGTGGGGAATGAGTTTGCCGTGAGGATTTTATGCGACTGGGGCATGTCCGGGGCGGAGATGGCTCCGCCCTCGGCAGGTGCGGTCTTCTTGACGAAGACATTGTGGATACCGGAGGAAGGCTTCTCGGTGACGGCGGCAACCGGTAGACTGCCATTACTGGGCGCTTCCTGTGTGGCTATGGTCGTGGAAGACGCCTTCACGACGGTTATTGGGGGAGCATTGACGAGGGTAATCGTTGGTGCACTCTTCGCTGCGGTGCTCGTGACGACGGTGAAATGGGAGGCGGTCGGACCGCCGATCGTCTTGACGACGGTGATCGGGGTATTCACGACGGTGATCACAGGCGAATTGACGACCTTCTGCAGGAGAGGCGAGCTGACAACAGGCGCTGCAGCACCGGCGACGATCAACTTCGAGACGTTTGCTTTGTTGTTTGCTGCTGTCGCTGTTGTGGATGAGGTCGGAGTGGGTAGCTCTGAATCCCCGCCACCGCTCGCTTTCTTCTGACTCTCGGAGGACAGTTTTCCCACCTGGCTGGGAAGCACTGAGCTGCTGCTTTCCAAGCACACACTCATGTCTGCACCCTGTTCCTCGTTGACTCCATTGCTACAGATTTTTCGGCTTGACTGCAATAAGACGGCTGTAGTCCCACCCCCGCCCTCTGATTTAACTATAACACCCTCCAGGTCAAGCAACTCTGCTCCTGCAACAAATCATAACAACAACAATATTATAAATTGCAAAAATGACGTTAAGATAACAGTTCTCATTCATCTTCATTCCATCGAGAACGACCGATCTCTCGTTATTGCTTATTTACAATCAATTCCATTGCTGCAATTGGACGATTTCGAATCATCTAATCGACTTATTGTTTTCAAAATATACAAGATAATACAAAATGTACATGAAATCCATTCGTATTCAGTCAGTCAGGCAGATCGTATTCGATATTAATAACAAGAAGTCAATCCGTTTACTGCGTACTTGTATTCATAATTAGTTAATAAATCTGTAATGTACATCGTCTCAGGTAAAATATGGTGGTGGCTGTGCAAGAAGAAGAAGAAGATGAGAGAAAAGGAATGAGGAGAATGCATTCATCATTATGTGCGAAAGTCGTCGCACGAAGAAGAGATGAACGCGAGAAGAGTTGGTGGAAGGAAGAGGAGAAGTGGGTGGAGCGAGGGGCGTGCAGCCGCCGAGTGTTTCAGTTGAATGCGAGAGAAGAGAGAGAGAGTGAGAGAAGAGGCCAAGGGGTTCGCGATTGAGGGGGGTCGCGGACCCGAAACGTGTCCGAGGTCGCGCAGGCGCTTTGTCTGGGGCCCGTGTAAGGAGCGACCTTTGGCGGGGCCGAAGAGATGGCGGCTCCGGCCTGACAACAGCCAGCGCCGCACGCTGCACTAACCAAACCCTTCCTTCCCCCCGCCGCCGCCCCGCGTCAACACGACAACGTCGTCGTAGCCGCCGCCTCCGCCACTGGTGGTGCATCCGCGACGTTGCCACGACGAAGAGAACAAAAATGAAATATTCATAATGTAACCGATGGATGATAGTGATTACGATGTTATTATTGAAACATCATCTCCATTACCGCATCCGTATTGCGTCGCATTCATCTCGTTTTGGCCGCGACATCCGTCCAGGAAATGTCTTTCGCGTTTAGTTGCGCAATTACCGCATTTTCCATTCCGTGCACAGTACAGAGCGCTCGCGCGCGCGCCAATTGCTCGTTACGCAACGTGCATACATGCTACAACGTACACATGCTACAGAGAGAAAACAAACAACGACGAAAGGATTGAAGAATTAAATTGTAAATTTACGCAAATCAATAATACGCAACGCGCGCAAAACCTGGCCACCAGAAACGAAACGCACGCCCGCCTCTGACCTAGGTCAAGTTCACCTGCAAACATGCAATGATCCAATATATTTCAACAATATTGAAAGTTTATTTATTCCTTTCACATATCCATTCCTTCCCTCATTTGCAAATTGGCAATTAAGCAATGAAATTCTCTTGCATATTGTAATTAATCAAGATTGAATTGGAAAAATTAACTCATCAACAACAAATCGATCGATTATCCGCTATTGTGAACGTATGAAATATGCAAGAGATGATCGGACGGCTGCAACGCAATTCATCAATGATGCATATCTGTGGATGTGCTTGTGTGTGCTTTAATTAATTGCACCAAACCGAGGGTCTAATTGAAACGTCGGCAATGGCAAATTGTGTTGTGTGTCCGCAATGAGCGCCAATCGATTGAAGGACACACACAGACACACGCCAAAATGGACAAGAGGACATCCGCCGATATCGTTCGCGAGGAGCGAAGAAGTCTATTCCCTCCCACCTTATCGCATTGTGGTATACGAATACTTCACACTTTAAAATGAAACAGAAAAAAAAGATATCCTGAAACAACAACTGATAACAATAATACTTGGGTATGTTTGGTTGGTTTGTAGGTAGGTAAGTGTATGTATTTGTATGTGTGTGTGTGCGCACTGCTATCGCAGAACTTGATAAAAAAAAAGGCCGTTTCAAACTATTTTCGTACTCATCTATATTCAATTTCCACTTTCTGCTCGTAATTAAGTCCAATTCGCGTCCTTTGATTTACGCTAAAACCATTTTCAAACGTAGCAACTTTGCTCAGTTTTCTACTACTTTCACTGCTCCCTATCCAAATTTCAAATAATGCCTAGATTCCTGATTCATCTAGTTAGCGATTCAATCTAGCAAATCGAAACCTTGACAACGTTATATTACCGTTGGCATAACGATCTAAAAAAATAATTAACAAAAAATAACATAACAAAACTACTGAGCGCAAGATTTCTAAATTTGTCTATCAAAGGATATCAGAGCTTACTTATTTCATATAATATGCAGTCGTTTCTACAACATACAAGTGGTTGTCATGTCCGTCCACAAATGATTTGATTCTAACACATTGGTCTCCTTTCACTTTCTAATGATTCAAGTTGGCCGTATCCATTTCAAGAAACTCTTTCTTTCTTTCTTTGCAACAATTCATCTCGATTGTTACATACGATTGTTATCAATTCCGATACAGATCCAAGTGACTTTACATTTGCAAATAACAATCCATTGAATTCATATCTAAGGACGAGTGAAATTTAGATAATTTTAATTTTTCAAGCTGTCGAAAACCAACAACAACAAACCCTTTCATTTCAATCAAATGATATTGTGACTACATTTGGATCAGTGTCGCAAATTTGGGTAAGGCAAATATTGCCACCTTCTCTCTCTCCCTCTCTGACTCTTCCAAACTTGCATCCATTCACCACATCCTGAGGTCATTGCACCGCAAATTTCCATCAAACTGTCCAATTTGTGGATAGCATAGAAAAAAAAAAGAGAAAAAATACATATCCGATTGGAATGAAAGTCCTAAAAAGAAAACAGAAAAAAAATTGGCGAAATATTACGAGCAACGTTGATTGGAGAGTAGTAATAAATAAATGTGAACGGGGAAAATAAGAGTTCGTTTTCTATACAATAACAACAACGACGACGAAAGAAGAAATAAAAAACGCACAAGTGTGCTGGTGCAGTTGGTAAAGGTGGCAACGGGGCCGTCTGTCTGTCACAAGGATTGATATCGATTGTGATGAGAGGGCGTTCGTTCGCTCGCTCGTGTAAAGCATGCTGCATAACTTTGGATGCCATCATCATAACAACAACAACAACAAGATTAGTAGTAGAAGAAGGGTCTCTCGCAATTCTAATTGGAATATCAACAACGCGTAACGTCCAGATGGATAAATGGAATAAAAAAGAGTCGGCGGCGGCAAACGACTTTTATATACACACACAAACAGAAAATGAAAAAGAGAGATGCCTCGGGCTAGACTAAGATGTAAATATTGTGTATATTTTTAGAAAGTGTACGCGCGTAGAAGAATGTAGTACAGTTTTATTTACACGCTCTCCACCGTGCCTCCTCTATATAAATATGCGGCAACCGCGACCGCCGCTTGCAACTGGCAACGTCTCCTCTTTACGCCACCGCCGCCTCTCTTCCTGATTATTATTATTACATCAAGTGCATTTCGTGCACTTCGCAGGCATGCCACCACCAGAACGACGGAACACGATGGCCGACACCGTCACAATAATAATAAAAACAACAGGACGGACACCCCGTAACATTTTGCGCAAACAACAACATCACGCTAGCGCCATGGCAACAACACATAATAATAATAATCATGAAGCGAGTACTAATTCGTTCTGTCACCAACACCAACATCACCAACATTATTATTATTAACGCACGAAACTTCAAAGGAATTCACAACACCACCAACAACAACAACATCAGCAGCAGAAGGAGATTGAATCGGAGCGTTTCGCAATCAATAACCTCATAGGCAAAATAAAAACATTGTGATTTTCCAATTGGAACTATGTTTCTTCTACTTCTTCTTCTTCTCCTCAATCATATACTTTGCCGCTTCCGATTGAATCCGTCCCTTGTTTCAGGCTTATCTTTTATCACCTCGTCTTTCTTCTTTTTTTTTTCATAAGTCGATGCACACACACACACCGGAAACGAAAGATGGTGAAAAAATCTAGGTTCGAAATAAATGAACGAAGAAGAAAAAAAAAGAAGAGAGGTATATGTATTATACCGAGTGTCCAGGTTAGGAAAAAGAGAGTGCAACGCACCGAAAACGTAACACTCGCAGACATGGGGGGTATGTTATGATGATGATGATGTTGTTGTTGTTGGGGGGTTTCCTTCTTCTCTTCTGCTCTGATTGAGTTGGGGGTTGGTTGGTTGATTGGTGGTGGGTTTCAATGATGTTGATGTACGTGATGATGAATCGTATTGGAATCGTCTCGTCTCGTCTGTATCGCGGGACTCACCTGGATGCAGCTGAACGACGGATGCGAAGAAACTGAAACTCTATCACCGATGTAAACATAGGCATTTTCTTACTGAAACGCACGGCCCCACGGAAATTTGAACTGTCCATAATTCGGCGAACGCTCGGCTCGCTCGATTCGCGCCCGTCCCACCGATTTTCAACTGCGATAACGCGGCGCACTTCGCAGAACTATCGCACAACACATTCGAAAACATACATCTAAACTAAATATGGCAGCCATATCTGTGCAAAACAAAGGAAATGTACCGAGAAATCTGTTCGATAGCCTCGAACCCCCATCCGTTTTCCGGTGCTGAGCTTATGGGACGGCAGGCAGGGGGCGCTCGCGCCCCTCGACAACTTCACCGCGTTGCGAAACGCAGCGATCCGATTGGACGAAACCGACTCGTCGCTGCCAACATCCGCGCGACAAATACCACCATGTCAACGGTTTGACGTTTCGTCCCCCAACAATATTATTATTTTTCTAGAATTAGGTTAAACACACATAATGTGAATGTAGAGAGAGATAGAGCAACAACAGGATTTCATCCATCTATCAATTGATTTATAATTTATTTATTTATTAATTGTAATCTACGATGATCGGTAATATTATTTCAATGCTTCGCCGGGGGCCAGATCCATTGGGTGGCCGGGGCCTCCTTCGTCAGCGGTTCCCATGGTTTCCAGGTGAGCATCTTTCGGGCGAGGATCAGCTCGTTCTCCGCCTGCACGATCACCTCCTCGATCTGTCCGCATCCGATGCTCTTCTCCACCGTTTCCACGCAAGCCGTGCCCTTCAGCACGGAAGCCCTCTCGTTTATCACCTGTTCGGTGTACTTCCTGTAGGCCGCCGACTCTGGCATCTTCTGCAGCGTCCGCAGGATCTTTCCGTAGAGGACGCCGAGCGTATGATGCGGATGCTGGTTGACGACCAACCCCGTTATTCCGGTCGTCAATTTCGATACCTTCGACATCTTCGCAGCAACAAAACCCCCAATGTTTACGTAACTTTGGTTGTTTGCAAATTATTTTAGGTTATCCTCGCAGCGCTGCCAATCAACGAAAAACAAATAACACCAGGAATCGATTTGTATTCATTTCAAATGCAAATATTGCTATCCTTCATAGAGTTGCACTGGCCAACACCGATCTCTACTCCTGTGGAGAGACAGGAACAGTCAACCACGTCCTGTTTGGATGTCCAAACCACGCAGCATCTACAAGACATCTACTGTCCACCATCTCTTCTATGAACATCCAGTTGCCAACTTCCATAGACACTCTTCTAGCGGAAAATCGTCCTGAATTTTTTAAGGCTTTAGCCAATTTTGTATCGACCACGGATACTTCCTTATAAAATAACAGCCAATCATCACTAACAACCATTCCGAGGTCCCCTCAACCGGGACCCCGATCCACCTATCCTCTAAACTTTCCACTACAATACTCATTGCGATTGGTTTAATGCGTCGAAAGGAGGCGGCTAAATGGAAGAGGCTCCTCCCCCTAGAGGGAGGTAGCAGGCGGAAACTGAACTTTGCAGCCTTTGTTAATCTTAATTGTTTATTATTGTTTATTATTATTATGTAAATAGGTTTCTCTTGCAGCGTACAAAGATTTTTTTTTTGATATTTCTTTGATATATCTCTGTTTTTGTCTCCATTTGAATGGGCGGTTTAAGATAACGTCAAGCCTTTGGACATAGTGCTTGCCATCTCTTTGGTCAACCAACTCGCCTCCCAGTACGTCCTCAATCTGTCGTCGCGATTTGCGCAGAACTCGCGAAAATCGCGCAGCAACTTCGTCTGGAAATTGTTGTCGACGACGACGTTCGTCCTCCATCTGCGACTGACCATGTGATTCCACGACCAAAGGAACCCTTTCTGAAATATCCATTAATTATCAAATTGCAATGATAATAAGATTAGTTCTCACCCTTCTCGTGTTATCGTAATCATCCTTGTTCTTGCCGCTCACGTGTCGCGTGATGTAGGCTTCGTGCGGACTCGGCACCACATCGGCATGCTCCGAGTATCTTCCGGTCGACCTCTGCTTGCTGATGGACATGCACCGGTGTCTGGGCTTCGGCGCCGGACTCGTCACTAATATGAAAACGGTACCGGTGCAGTGGATGTACTGATGCTCCTGGGCGACGGCAGTGTTCTGCGGTTCCATCAGGCAAGGGATGAATCCGAACTTGGCGACGATCGCCTCCTGGAACAGGAACAGCCTGTCCATCTGCGAATCCTCACGGAACTCCTTGAACAGTCCGTCCTTCGACTCCAGGCAGCGAGTGTTCAGCGGAACGAAGATCGGTCCGCGCAACGGATCCGACTTGTTCGAATAGGGCAGGGCGAGTGGATCGTGCGGGATCGGCACCATCTGCAGACCGCACGACTGCTGCGCTTTCCGACCCCAACCAGACAACTACAAAACAATAATCAACATATGAGAATGTTATGAATCAAGCTAATAATATTAAGATATTACCAATTCGGCAACTATCGAACCGGACGCCGTGAGCCATTCCACCACCAATTCATAGGCTTGATCTGGGCGGAACACGGTCTGATAACGGGCGTGGCCCCATTCCACTCTATCACTTTTCGTGTTCACGTCGATTTCCAAATGCGTCCGCTTGAAAATTGGAGCTGCAACAACAACAACATCATTAGTATTGTGATGATCATCGATCAACAAATTCAGTTACCATCCAGTTCACCTTGCAGATACGCAATGTCTATGTCTTCGCGCAAGAAATGTGGAACGCCCCTTTCGACGTCGTCCACTCCGGCTGCACTCGGAGCCACGCCCATGCCCCAATTCATGGGCGGTCTCACCTCGATCTCCACCCACTCATTTTCGAAGCTTTGCAGATCTTCCAATGGTTTGCAGTAATTATCATCTACAAAACAAAACGAAATATTATCGCAATAATGTAGAAATAATATATGAAAGCAACCTTTATCGATGTTCACTATGTAGTACAGATAGAAGCCAAAGAGGAAGGGTTTCGCGAATTCACCGCTCGCGTGACAGATGAGCCCCTCCTTCTGCATCGAGATCAGAATCTGGACGGCCTGCTCCAAGACGTCCACGCCCTCCATATTGGTGAGCAGCCAATTGGCAGCGTCGGCGGACACGAACGTAGCCGAAGGTAAACTTTGGTGGGTCGTGAGGAAACCGACTCCGGAAACCGGATGCTTCATCGCTTCTAGAATATCCTCGTGAGTGGCCGTCGATTTCAAAAGAGCTTCTTGATTAACGCTACAACAATTATAATAGCAATGTTATGTTATAATAAATACAAACATAAATACCTGCTGTCTTCAGTGTTGCCATCGTGCATCTGACTGTCTAGGTACGAAGAGGCGGCTGTGGAAGTCGACACGTTGGCTCCATCTACCGCAGGTGACACCCTCCCTCGTTCCATGACCTTCGACCCGGACCTGCACATCGATCACGAAATAAGCAAAAACCGGTCTTCAGACGAAAAGACACGTTTCGTAAAGCGTTTAAGACGTGAAGAACGAAACGAGTCTTTCATCATAAAAAACGCTAAGCATGCACTAAGTGTTTCGCTACGAAGTGTATAATATGTGTGAAGAGAATCGTAATTCTTGTTAACTGGTGCAAGAGAAATTTGTTAAGCTAATTAGGAAGAGGGAAAGAAATGGATTTATAAAAGTGGAAGTGTTTGATTGATTGTGTAAGAGAATGTTTCATTGTTTGCTCATCGAGTATGTACAAACCTAATGGCTGCGTAACGCTCTGCAGAGCGAATCGTAGCGCTCTGGAAAAAGAAAGAAGCAAGCAGTTGAGAATTCGGAAAAAAACACACATCACTACCGCGCGCGCCAGATGACGCCCTCCCTCCCCCGTCTCTCCCGACTCAAACGTTACGTAATACGTTCGCATGCGATAAAACCAGCCACCACAAAGCTGCGAAAAAAAAGAGAGAAACTAAAAGGATCTAGATGGAAAGATCAAACGAATAGGAGGAGAAGGGGGCGGAGATCAAACAAAGTAACTCAGAGGTAAACCACGCCCTCCCTCTCCGTTGGGGCGTGACGTGGTGGCGCACCTTGGCCTGTGTCTGTCCTGCATACGGTGATTGCTCCCTAAACGCTCCCGCATCGGCGAACTGCACTGCTGCATGTTGCTCTGAAACACAGTACATCAGAAAACACGGAACGAATACGAATTCATCACGAAGATCATCTTCTGAAATCACCTAGACGACGAAGTAACAAAGAGAAAAATGATTAAAATAGAAAAAATTATAAAAACATTTGAGTTCTGTCAAATCTACGACAAATTAGCACACACACAAAAAAAAAATCAACAACAGGAGGAGGAAGGATTAGGTTCCTCCTCCTCCTGTCCGTTTCTTTTTTGTTTTATTTCAAGCATGGAAGCAAGCAATATTTTGAAATTGAAAAAATAGAAAAAGATAAACTAAACTTTTTGTTAAACATTCGCACACGCACACTTTCGTTCATAGACATTCTTTGCAGGTGCACGCACTTATAATGTGTTGGTTGATTGAGAGTAGTAGTGATAATAGTAGTAGTAGTTGTAATAGCTTTACCTGCATGGAACTCACAGCGCTCATGCTATTACGCCTGGGCTGGATGATCAGGGGGCCGTGCTGGCTAGCTACGCTCAACGACATCTATAACATGCTTATTTAAACACTCATGCAAACACAACTACTTGTGGATCAGTGCTTCTCGAAAACTATTCTCTCATTATAATTGAATTAAGAGAGAGAAAGAGAGAAAAAGAGGCGTGACCTTATTTGTACAGTTACAAGTGAGAGGCGTGGCCTAATGACAAACAACGATCCGATTGGTCGAGAAACACTGCTCGAGATGCAATTTCGAATTCAGTTAATTCGCGAAATTGGATCTTTTCGGAGGAACAAATAAAAGATTGAGATAGAAATTGCGAGAAAAAAAAACTAACTACAAAATTAAAAAGGAAATAAATAAATCAGCAGTGACTCGCGAAAGTAGAAGAAATTGCGTTAAGAAAAGAGAGAAAAAAAACGAACCCGTGGCTTCTTCGAGATACCGGGTCTCTTGAACTTGTTGACTATAGTCTCGATGAACTTCATGAAACCGTCGACCATCTGCTGGTGATCTGTAGCGCTCGGTATGGCGTAGATGTCGCAATGTTTGTTGCCGTCGATGATCCTCTTGGTGGCGGCGTTGTTCAACGGAAGAAGATAAATGCGGAATCTAAAATAAAGATAATTAAAAGATGATTGAAACTATTTGCAAATGCAATTACCTCCAGTATTTCAAAGCGTCGACGAAGACGAAATCGGTGTCGCCTCTGGTGCAGATGTAGTGATCCAGATAGTTCCAATTGTAGTGCTCCAATTTCTCGGTGGTGAACGTGGCGTACGACTCTTCGTAGGTGTCGTGCAAGGGGGCGTGGAATCGGTAACGGTACTGATAATTGAAGCCCGGATACGGATGTCTAAAAAAACAAAAAAAAAAACAAACCTCTCGTGCAAACGTTTCGTTTGGATTTTCAGTCAATTCTCACCTGGGTCTGTATCTGGTGACGGTGATGGAGTTTCCGGTCAGAGAGATCTTGTGGAAGAGACGTCCGATGGAGAGGAAGTACGTCTTGGTTTGCTCCGCCTCCGCGTTGGTCGTCCTCTTCCTCACCAACGAACCGGTGTTGGATCCGTTCTGCAGCATCCCGTTACCGTTCTTCTCCATGCCGGCGGGCAACATGATCAGCTGGAAACCCTGCGCCAGTCGCTGCGAGATCAACTCGACGAAGACTTCGGGCGTCGTCAACGGTTTCTTGTAGATCGCCCTCTTCTGCGCGTAATCCGCGTTCACGTCGTCCGGCAGCAGATGGTACAGCGAGACGACGTAGTCTATCTGCAGGGCGCGCTTATCGGGAAAGTAGTCGGTCGTGATGGGGAGGCAGGCCGGTATCGTCAGCGACTTCCAATCGACGCCTGATCCCATTCGTGGGCGTGGCATGGCACAAAAAGAAAACACACCCACTTTTAGTTAAACAATACAATCATATTGGAAAAAAAACAAGAGAGTGTGAAAGAAACTACGAATTTATGCATATTCTCTCGACAAAACCAATCAAAATTATGATTCGGTGCAATGATACAACAAACAACGTGCGTTTCCACAATATGCATAAACTGAGTGAAAAAGAAACAAAACGAAGCAATTCAATAATAAACAAAAGAAAGCTCTAGCAAATACCAAATGTTGTTTTACAGAAAGCATGCTTTAAACAATAAATTACTGAAATGGTTAAAAGTTTCATAACAATAAAGAAATAGTAGTAGTAGTGGTAGTAATAAAAACAAAGTAATGCAGCTATACACAGCCTGTGCCCTTTAAAAATAAGTAAATAAATAATAATAGAAAGGAAACTAAAAAAAAATATCTATAAAATACCCAAACAATGTAATAGAATGGAATAGAATAGTAATACTACTTAGTAAGTAATGTTTAATTAATGATAATATCAAACCTATTAGTATATCATTGACAGCTGTCGATCGAGTTTCATCCAATGGGACACCATGGAACAACAAATATAATGCGTTTTAAATAACTGAAATTTCAACATTTAACGTTCTTCCAATGTAAATATTTCGTATTTATATGTATGTGTAGAGAGAGAGTGAGAGAATAAAATGATGTGGATGAGATTCTGTAAATAGAAGAACCCCAAATAGCACACGTAATTGAAGCCGATTGATGTGTTTGTGTGTGTATATGTAAAATGGGGAGAGTAAACATCCGAAATAGATCAAATACTAAAAAAGTTAAATACGATGGAAATGCATGGTTTTACCTGTTGTCAGTGCGGGTGTCCATTCCTGTTCGCCGGTCGCGCCCCACAGAAGCGTCAAACTCTTCGGGTTCTTCGTGGAGACGTTCGACGATTGAGAGTTGGCGCTCGCACCGATTCGCTTCTTGCAATCTGCGGGCGCAAATCGAGTAATTTTCTTACGTAGAAGAATGCAGTTCGATTGGTATTTACATTCTTGGAGGGCTGCGCTCGAAAGGGACCTGGCCAGGACGGGCGCCTTCTCCGACGACGCGCCCACCGGGTACTTGAGGTCGGCGTACGTCTGCGCCGCCTGGTAATGATGTTGCTGGATCAGCATTCCAGTTGGACCTTGATAACGATAAAAGAGATGATTGCAGTTTTTGAATCGGTGTTTTGCGCGCGAACCTTTGGGAAAGATGTGAGTCCATCGGCGTCTGTTGGAGGTGAGTTTGATGGTGACGTGGGAGGGATCGAACGGATTGATCAGCGCTCTGGATTCGAGCGGTGGACTTCCTTCGGAACCGACGACCATTCGCATCGGCGGTGAGAGTTCCCTGTCGTTGGCGCCGCAACCGGTCCACGTCTTCTCTGCTAAAATTTCAAAGTTTAAATGCAATTGGATTGTAATTATTGTTAGTACCTTCGTGAGGGGAGACCGGACTGGCAGCTGGTGGAATGGCGATGGGTTGCGATCGTTGCGAGCTGCTGTCGCTCGAGACGTGCTGAATATCGGGATCGGACATCTTCCGTCGTTGCCCTTTAATATCTTTGGGATCCAGCAGTTTGCCGGAGGTACGTTTGTAGCGGGACGTCGATTTGCTGTAGCCGATCTCGTGGGCCAGATGCGCGGGACTGAGGAAGACTTGGGCGTCGTACGCGTCGTAATCGAAGAACGTGTTGTGGATGTACTCCTCGTCCGGCCTCAGATTGGCTTTCGGCAGTTCCTTGCCTCTGCACTCGGTCATCGGGGGAATCTTGATGCGCGGAATGAAATTGGAGTAAGCGACTTTCTTGTTGGTCGAGTAAAAGGATAAGTTGATCCAGTGCGGCATCGAGTAATCGTCGGGCACATTCAAGTAAGTATCCTTGTTGTGGAACTGCAATCAAAAATTCAACGATTTATTCGATTCAAATAAGTAAATCGATTTACCTTGAGTAGTGGGACGGCGTGCAGCGGTTGCTCCCCCACGCACACCAGATCGCTTCCAACGCCGTTGTCGATGATCCTCTGCTTGGTTATGTTCGTCAACTCCCTGTCCACCTCGAACACGCCCACTCCGGGCGTGACCACGACGCTCAGCTGACCGGTCCTGTCGAAGCTGCGATCCAGGTAGTGCTTTTCGAAGACGTTCAACGACATGTTCAGCACCTCCAGGAAATTCCCTTGAGCCGCGGTGCTGTTCGTCGCGGCGGGTATCTTCAATCCAGGCCTCGAATGGTAATCCAGCACCATCTTCAGATACTCGGAGAACAATCGCCTCAACTGTTCGAGGATTCCCGAGCAATCGTCGTACCGTTCGTTCTGCACGGCCACCCGATAGAAATCCTCGTAATACCGTCCCTTGTAATCCTTCTGCAGACACTCGCGCATATGCAGTGGAAACTCCTCCAAATATTTAGCCTCGTAGAACGTCCTCGAGAACAGCACGATCGTGACCTCGTGGTTGCTCCCGTTCTTCTTCCATTTGGTGAAGAGATCCGCGAGGAATCCGTTGACCGCCTTCTCGAAGTACAGGTCGCCGTGTATGTCGAACTGCCACATCTCGGAGCTCATCTGCAGGAAGAGGTAGACCATCGACGTGGACGATCGGAACACCACCTTCGTGTCGTCCGTGATCACACCGCAGGCGACTCTATCGCCCACCGACCACATCTCGTACACCTGACAACGCACCGTCCCACCGCAGAACTCTATCTTCTTGTTAATATACACGCACGTATTGGTCTGAAAATTAATCAAAATTAAATTTATTCCTATTAATTAAATCCTATTAGAATAATCATACCAAACTGTTCTTCAATCTCCACATCTCCGAACGACCCATGTACTGATCCTTGAACGTCAGCTCGATCGAGTCCAAGGCAACGTCCGCAGGATTCACGATCTCCACGTTGACCTGCTGGAACGGTCTCAGACCGAAAGCGTTCGCAATCGTCTGCTCCACGCTGATGGTGTCTGCGAACGTTAAACATCATCATTGGTACAACAATCAATAACAAACGCGTTACCTTTGGCGACAGTCTGAGCCTCCTTGATCTGCAGCAGCAGCCTCGGATTGTTCTCCTCAGCATCATAGATCTCCACAGTGTCACCCTCTTTGGCATGCTCGTAGTAACAAAGATTCATCACCACATCCTCCGCTGCATTTAAAAAAAAAACAATATAAAATAACAATTGTAAAACTTTGCAAACTTTAAACTCACAGCTGAAAGCCTTCTGGTGCACGACAAGTCTGAACTGCTTCATTTTCGTTTCGTAAATTCGCTTTGGGCGAACTGAGAGAGCGCTTTCAGTTTCGATGGACTTTGCGTTTAAATAACGAAGAATAAACTACTCCTCCACCACCACCACTCAACTTAAGATATCATCATTAACATCATCATCATCATAGAATCATCTTTCGGCAATTAGCAGGAACGTGACGGTCGTAAACATCGTTGACATTGAAATATCGCCTGGACGTACTGTTATTGACCTTAAATTACGCGATCGCATGTGCTGTGTGTGAGAGATGAGGGGTGGACGGGGAAAAGTCTGAAGAAACAACAGGAAAACAACGTACCGGATCGAAAGTAAAATTGAAGAAAAAACAAAACAAAAACAAACACTCGTAAAACAAAACAATCGCTTTTGCTTTCATCTGACGTTCAGTTTTGAGGTTACCGAGCGTACATAGGCAACACAATTTACACTAAATATTACTTAATCACAGTTTAATGACTCTGGGCATAATATTTACTTACTCTAACGGGAAGATTGAGTGTTTATGTAAAATGTGTTTGTTTATTAACGAAAATAAACAAACAAGAAAAGACGATTTAATATAAATCAACATCATTTGTACTTTTCGTATTGGGCGGAGTCGTAGTTGAGACTGCCCAATTTGTCTATCCTATTTAGAAGATCCGGTCTGGTGACCAGAGCGCGCTTGATGCTCTGCGTGAGCAAATTCTCTTGGAAGAATGCAGGAAACGGCATGTCGTCCAAGGCGAAGACGTGCACGTTTCCGTCGATGTCCGCGACGAGCAGACATCTGCCGTCGTGCGTGAACTCGATGATGGTGTTGCGCGACTTCGTCGGAGAGTTCGTCGTGCTCTGCGAATCGTACGTCTTCCGTTGCAGATCCCACACGAAGATCTCCGAACCGGAGATGCTGGCGATGATCGTCGAATGGGAGGGGCTCCAGGACACGCCCTGCACCCCGGCCATCTTCTTTTTGATCTCGAAGAGCGGCTCCGAAATTGTGTCCGCCCACAGACGGATCGCCCAATCGTCGCCGCACGTCAGGAAAAGTTTATTGCAGAACGGCGAGTGCACGATGTTGTACATCGGCCCGTCGTGCGCGAGGAACAGATCGAGATGCTGATGGAAGTAGTTCTTGGAGCAGGTGTGCACGACGCCCTCCCCGGTGCCGATGTAGTAGATGTTCGGATCGACGGGATGTGGCGAATAGATCAGCGCTGGCGAGTGTCTAGCCAAAGGTATTATCTTCGTGGTGCACTTCCGCAGCGTCTCGATGCCCTTCAGCTTACCCTCGGCGATGGTGATCTTCATCATGTGGCTGTGCAGCATGAACACGTTCTGCAGGTTGATGCAGAACTTGAAGATCTTCCCATCCTGACACGTCGCAGCCAGAAACTCTTGACCTTTGTAGTAGTCGTGATCCGTGTACCAGTGCACTTGCCAGATGGGCTCAAACAGTTGACACGCCTGTTTATCGCAAACCCCCATCAATTTACAATCGGCATGGCTTACGTCCAAGACTTTAATGAATCCATCGTAGAAGCCGACCGCCAGAAGGTTCGGATACTGCTTGGAAAAGTCCAGGGAGGTCACAGGCGTCGGAAAGCTGTAGTACCGTTCCGGCTGCACGTTGTTCTTGATGTTCCACAGTAAAACCAACCCATCGGTTTCGTCGTCGTAAAAGAATTTACCATATCCAACAGCCAAGATATCTTTGTTCTTCGGATTCCAACATAGGCAAGTCACGCATCTTCCTGCAAATGATCAACATCAAGTTTTACATGTGAATTCTTTACTAATTCTTTACCTTTGGTGTCGTCGTTGGAGAACGTCCACATCAAGCTCAAAGTGTACTTGAACTCGATGTTCTCCCTGAACGGGCTCGGATCGTTCAACCCTCTGAACCTCTTCTGCTCCTCACCGAAGACGTTGTTCGACAAGATCCGCTGCATCATGCGGACGGCATCCTGAAACACGTCGCTCTTCGTCAGCGCCAACCATTCCCTTTCCTCCTTGTTGGTGGCGATGCTGTCCACAGAGAGCGACGAAAGCACCGAGACCACGTTCTTCTTCGCGTTGCCCTGATCCTGAAAAGTGTCGTACATGTCCCAGAGCGAGGCGAAACTGTAATCGTCTGCTTGCCTCATCCTCTTGCAATCCGTCTCTCGCGATTTCTGCAGCACCGAAGTCGTCTGAACCTCCGCATCCACGACCTTCCGATTTTTTCCTTTACCCACGGTGATGTACTCGTACTGCTTGTTCTCCGCCTCCGCTTCGATACCTTCAACAACAACTGATTAACTATGAGAATCAAAAGAATATTTGATCAATCACCTTCTGGCGTGTCTTTGGTAGCTGTCGCGCTTCCCATCTCGAAGATGATGATCGTGTCCGTCTCGTGGAGGGTGAGCGAGATGTACCCAGGCATATCGTCAACGTCGGGCAGCGGTGTCAGGTAGCCTTCCGAGTACGCCTTCTGCGGCTGAAACGATTCCTCCGAATTCAGCAGATTGTCCACGTGGCTCGGTTCCGTGGAGAAGTTGGAGTAACCGCCGCCGCCACCGCCGTAGAAGCTCTCGCCACGCGTGCTCGTCTGTCGCAGCTCCGACTGCAGTTTCAACGTCGACTCGGTGTGAAAGAGTTTGCTGAAGGTACCGCCGCCACCGGCTGCCGCGATCACGTGCATCTCGGTCATCGGTCGCTCCTTGGCCCCCTTGTAGTTCAGCGGATTGATGAACCTCGGTGTCACGTCGACGCCGTAGTGGATGATCTTCACGGTGGCCGCCACCTTCGACGTCAGTATGGACTTGGGGGCTGTAGACTTGCTGCTCGTTCCCACCACGTGGCTCGAGTTCTTGCTCGGGGACATCTTCATCTGGATCCTACCGTCCTTCGACATCTCCGTATCGCCGCCTCCCTGACACACACACAAACAATCAAATAATAACAAGATCACCATGGAGACGAGGATCGCGTTCCCTCGCTGAACATTAATTAAAATCAATTCTCTTACATTTCTCTGGGCACTTCTCGCACACACTTAAATCACTCACTAACAATAACAATATTTAACAATATACACTAGGAAATTGCGAAACAATACTGTTTCAAATAGGTCGCGAAGTGGACCGCAAGCACCGCTTGTCAAACATAAACAAACAATAGCAATATCACCATGGTGACGACCATCCTGCAAGTCTAATAGGAATCGACTTAAGTCGATGATCTTCAATTATTTATGTAAAATGTCGTATCAAGGCTACATTAACAATATACAGTAAAGTATTAAAAGTTTGAAAAATGTTGTTTGAAGGAGAAATAGATTTTAGACGAATTAAATTGCTAAAACAGAAACCCACCTAAGATTCTCTTTATTCAACATTAAAATATATATTATATACATAAACCAGAAGAGGAGGAAAAACATAATTATAGAAGAGAAATGCACACACACTTTCATAACACACGCACATAGTATTCTCTCTCTCTCTCTCTTGCACAAGTGATATTTTGATTAGAACTAAACGATTATCATAATAATTATTATTACATACATACATATATGTATTATAAACCTATATGTTTTAGTTGTTTGTTTTTTGAAGAGAAAAAGATGTTTGTTCCAGGCGTAAAAATAGAAATCAACTAATTTCATATCAAATTCGAATTATTCGCGAAAATCTTGGGCGAGGTGGGTGTAGTACAGATGGTGTGAGCGTGTACGAGTGAAGAAAGGAATAACTTTTTTGTTGTTTGCTTTTGAAACACATAACATTTTGCACGTAATACCTACGACGACATCAAGAGAGAAATAATCAACGATGAATGCGATGCGGTTTATTTGTATTTCCATCCAACTCCTTCATCATCTACGCGAGAAGAAGCCACGCGATGAAAATGATGGCGAGCCAAAGGAATATCTTCGAAAGGAACTGCTCTTCGAGATGCTGAGGAGTTCCCATCGCCGCCGGACTCGGTCTGGTCTCGCCCAAATTGAAAGTGGACGTGAAGAAACCGAAGGGAAACGCTCCGATCCCGAACGACAGATGGAAACTGTTATCACCCAATCCGAATCCTGAAACATTAAGTGTTATAAGATCAAATTGGTCCAATTTTGATTGATTACCATTGAAGAGGGAACCATCCGGTTCGGTCCTTTGTCCGGACGGTCTCGGCGCGGAATTCTCCCTGGGATCCTGCTGGTCACTGCTGCCCCTGCCGTAGAGTGGAACGACTTTCTCCCTGCTTATCGCAGCCTTGCACACGGGACAGACCTGTCGGGCAGATGCTGTCTCCAGCCACTGGTGCAGACATGGCCAGCTAAAACACACACAATCTGATTGGATCAATAAACGAGATACTGAAGCTACAACAATCATCTAATACCAGAAGAGATGTCCGCACATGCTGACCACAGCATTCTTTGCAGTGTCCAAGCAAATGTTGCACTCGAAGTTGCGATCATCTCTGGCCTCTTCACCTGCACCTTCCTTCTGACTGCTGTTGCCACTCGTGCTGGGCTCTGGGGGGCTCGCGCTTGGCTCTGCTGGGCTCGCGCTCGTCGACATCTCCACGATGAGAACTTTTTGTGTGTGTGTGTGTGAAAGAACAAAAAAAAAAACACGAACTTCCTAATCGAATTACTGCTACTGCTCAATGTATGCCCATTATGTCAACACATCCATCAAAAGAAAAACAAGTGAAAGATGGATTAACAATTGAAGCTACGACTCCTACCAACGTACAGAGTACAACTTTTATATAATAATACGCAGCTTCTTTTCTTATTTTTTCTTCGTTTTAGTGCACGTAACTTTCCGATGCGTATCGGAAATTTGTTGCTCTTCCCTCCCCAACGATAAACGCGAAACAAAAAAAAAACTGCTTATAATCAGGTGACAGTTGAATTATTATCAATTGTCTCTCTTGTGTCGCGACGTTGCCGATATAATCCAATAGGAATACCAACTGAAATATAATTATCGTAAAAAAACCATCAAAATTAAACAAAGAACATTCTTTACGCGCTTTGCATATTACAATTAACGTGATTATACGATCATTGCATGCATATATTACATATAAATCATTGTTTTCATCAATTTGTTTTCAAACATATTGCCAACTGCAAGCAACATATGTTGATTAACAAATAGGATTGTTTACTTCTCTTTCATTGGTTGATATCTCTAATGCATCCATCTTGTTACCCTCCATTGCATAAGATTATTATTTAAACAAAAATATAATTATAGTTGTTTATTGCGCAATTTACTATGTGCAAGTAATCTTTTCTAAGGAATTTTAGCTGATAAATAGCAATTGTCTAAATACTTAACATTATCGCAACAAAAATGTTCGCTTTTTCAAACGTTTTGCTGAGTAATCGCAAATTGTTGACATATTAACAGTGGTGATTTAAATGATTAAATACTTACAAAGAAGCAGAAGCAGCGAGCTCTAAACACTACGTGCAACTATGATTTTGGTGAGTTGCGTTTGATTTTGCAAGAAAAACCTTTCACCCGATCGGGCAGCAAGCGTTGGCCGCAATCCGCCGCTTCCACCACCACCTCTCGACGAATTCCTGCCCAGCAAACTTGTTGACGCCGTTTCCTGGCAACAGGAGCTGTTTATGTTTCCTGTTGCCAAGGCGACTGAAACTTTCAGGTGAAATCAAAGCAGCTGTAACTTCGTTTATCATTTATTGCCAAATAAATACACAATTGCGCGTTTCTCTTCTTATGGATGGGGCTTAGGTTGTTTCGACTATTGAATAAATAATAAATGTACAACATTTCGCGTCTGCAACAATATGCTAAGAAAAACTACTGTTTCAATATATATATATATACAATGTACAGTGTAAATAAAACTTAAGAAAGAAAAACGTGTGTCTTCTCCAACTCTTTCATCTACATTTCATCACAGGTTAGCTTTAGAATAAGCATTGCTTGTTGTTATCATTTTTGTTTTTTTGTTTTGTTTACAACTCTATCTTGATTAATTAAAAACAAAAGAACAGAAAACATGGATATAGTTTAAAATAATTTAACTGAGAAGAGGAAAACTGTAGTGCATTATATATAGAATTAGAGTAGTTATTTATACAAAAATAGTATTTATATATATATGTGTGAGGAATAGAAGAGATGTGTGCTTTATACTTTACGATTAATATATGGTATTGTATATAATATTGTTGCCGATTCCATTAGAAGAAAATTATGTTTGTTGCTGTTACAACTCCAGTTTGGCGTTAGTCTTCAGATGAAAACCCTTCTTCTCGAGGAGCTCATTGCACTCCTTCCTGTTCAATCTTCCGAGGATGTGCCTTTCCACCTCAGCGTCGTTCTCATCCAGAAGGACGAGCTCCGGCGGAGCCCCCTGTATCTTCTTGAAGTCTACGCCATCGTATTTGGGCACGTCCTCGTAGATGAACTTCTTCACCTCCGGCAGCCGGTTCAGCGAGCAACCGGGGCAGCTCTGAACAAACAAAAAAAGAAATATACGAATCTAGTTAGCCTCCGCTTATCATATGTTTTTGCACAGCCTACCTCGATTCGGGCTCTAGCGAATGTCGGCTCCTCGGCGGAGCAAAGGGCGAACCCTAATACAAGAACCAAAGGGAAATTGAACAACATCTCGACCACCAGAAATCGTCACTGAATCAAAAACATCATCATCACTGTAATGTCAAGGGCGGGTTGAAGAAGTTGCCTATACGCGCGATGATGAAAGGTATGCAACCACAGACGCACGTTAAAGATTAACTAAATTCTTTATTCATTGCTTATTATCTTAATATTATTTGCAATTAACAGATTAGAGATTATCTGCTTGTAGATTCTATTTGCCCCTGCATTTACCGCCGATGCACTTGAACGGATTCCTGCAGGTGACGAACTTTCCGGCGATGTCGCCGCACTTGCCGTGTTTACCTGCAACGTGATCAGAGATTAGACTGTTACCGTCGATTGTTTCGCTTTCGGTCTTAGCTACTCATAGCTGGGCGGCTGCTCACCGACTAAGGTCGCGCACAACTGGCAACAGTTGCAGAAGCCCCCGGTGATGACGACCTCGTTGGGACCGTTGCAATCACCCACGGGGACGCAAGACGTGGCCGCACACGTCCACTCCTGACACTCCTCCATCTGTCCAGAAGCGCAAGCGATTGCTACGATCAGCAGCAGAATCGTCTTGAACAGAAACATATCCTGCAAAGAAATTACAAAGTTGTTGCAGGATATTCAAATTTGAATGACATGTGACAGATGTGACAATTCAAATAAACGTCAAAATTTGACGTTTAAATTGTCAAAATTGTTAAAATTTGAATTTGCCGAAGAGTTGAATTTGTTATTATCGTGTGATGTATTATCGATTGTATGAAATTAAATTAATGATTGAGATGTCGTGCGGCGGCGGCGACGAGTTTTGCTGCTAGATGAGGCGATAAGTGAGGTAAAAATAGGAACGGGAGACGCGTTTCGATTAGGTAAAGAATCCAATTTGATAGTTTCATGTGAAGGAAGCGAAAGAAGGAAAGAGAAGAAAAAAACGCTCAGGCGATCATCGCAGGTATTAAGTAAGTAGTATTTTATCGATGAGATAAAAGTCTGTTCGATTAGACAAGACGATTAGTACGTCCGCCCCTTCGCAGATATTGTATCCTCGTCGACGCACCGCATCGTCTATCTATCTTCATTTGTTATCCGCCGCCGCCAACTGGAACTAAGCGAACATGGTGATCAAGCATCAAGTCGTCGGGTACGAGCAGTTCGTGGAGCACATGAAGCAGTACACCAAGAAGGATCTCGTTTACGTCTATTACTGCGGCTCCAAACTGCCATCGGGCGAGAGCTGGTGCATCGATTGCGTCCGAGGTGAGACCTTTCTGTTTCTCTGTTCTTTTTTTAGGTTATAAACATTTTCAACGCCACCCACAAATTGCATTCGAAATACGATTTTCACGAGATTTGATGAAAATGTATACGTATTAAACTATCTAATCCAACAGAAAGCAAAGATAAAATCGAAATCAACAGTAGTTGAAAAGTTATTTAAGCTGTAATTGCTTAGTTTAATGACTTAAGGCAATTTGCTTTAATTAATTAATGGACAATCAAGCAGATAACGTACATGATTGGTTGCATACGTCATTACGAAACGGAATAACAATTGTATATTGTCAGTTTCCATGGTAATTCGATGATTTGCGAGCGCGTCGCGTGGAGGTCATCACAAGTACTGAGCGAAAGAGAGACAGAGAGAGAGAATGAGAGATCCCCCTTTCATTTATAAGTAACTGCACTTTCCCCATTCCGGACTTCCTGATTAATCGAATGAACCGAATCATTAAGTTTAACTGCAACTGCGCGCATCATCATCATCGTAAAATTTTGAACGAATTCGTTGTTCGAATTTGAATATTCAATATACGTCGTTGACCTCATCGTATAAGAAACAAAAAATAAGCATAAAAAAGTTGTATTTGTTTTAAAACAATTGATATTATGTTAGTAATGTCTATTGTTTCTTATTTGCGTTTTCGATTGTTTAAGGAGACAATTGAAGCTGTGTTTGTTAATTAAAACAATTGTAATTTATCTAAGCCGGCTTAGAGCGTTATCTGCGTTGCTAGGCGATTGCGTTTTCAATTGGATGGTCCTTCAGATTCGACCTATATATCGATCGATCGTTGTTATGACGTAACTAAGGAAACTTACTTTGTTTGTTTGTTTGTTGTTGTCGGTTCGTTATTGTTGTTATTTTGTTTTCGGTTGTTACGTTGCGCGAACGCTGTGCTTCTGATGCAGATCGGATGAGAAGAATGAGCAGCAGCAGCAGCAGCAGCGACAATACGTTTGCCAATCGACATATGAATTAGTCAATCATCATTAGGTAGGATGATTGTGAGAGGCGCGGTTCGAGAAGAGGGTAAAAAGAATGCAAACGGACGGGGAAAATGTATGATTAAGGAGCGCTTCCAATTATCCAATGAACTTGTCATCTGACATTAACCTACTTGATGCTGACGACTCACCTTTTGTTTGTTTGTTGTTTTCTTCCTTCGTTACTGGTTACGGTCGCCTGGTTACGGTTGCTCTGTTTATAGCAAGTCGCGGATCGGGCGTTTTATATATGCGCTGGAAATGGATTTAGATATGAAATGTTAACATCTTGTTTTTTTTTTTATATTATATTAATGTTTATTGCCCTTTGTTTCAGCGTGGCCGGTCATCGAGCCGAAACTGTCGTTGGCCGACGAAAGCGCGCACTTTGTCTACGTGGAATGCGGCGATAGGGCCTTGTGAGTAGACAAACAAATTTTTTTCTAAACATTTTTTATTGTACTATTTCACGTCTTTTGCAGCTGGAAGGATATGAAATGTCCGTTCAGGAAGGATCCTTCCACGAAGTTGATGGTTCTGCCGACGTTGGTCAAGTGGAAGCAGCCGGAGAAGCTCGAAGGCGATCAGTGCGAGAAGCCGGATCTCGTCGAGATGCTCTTCTCAGACGATTAATCAATCAATTAATTAATTGTTACCTAAGAAATAAGCTTATATAATACAAAAAAACGATAACATTAAACAAACTGTTATTTATAAAAGAAAACAAAAACAAAAACAAAATCTATTATCTTCGATTTTCAACTGTTCACCGTCACCATCTGTCATTCGCAAAAACAATTGTTTCCTTTCTCTGTCATTCCTGCAAAAGAGCGATTGACATTGCAATTGTCGCCAATTAAATGTATGCAAATTTATAACTATAACATATAACTTGATCTTTGAAAAATTATTTTAAAGTTTCGTAATGATGCATTATCTATATGTGATTGCAAGAATTATTGAACGAAACAAAAGAGAAACTCTAGTGCTTCAGATATGGCGAAACGTGACAGATACAAAGTCTATTATCTTCGATTTTCAACTGTTCACTGTCACCATCTGTCACTCGCAAAAACAATTGTTTCCTTTCTCTGTCATTCCTGCAAAATATATATTGTTCTGCAATTGTCGTCAATTAAATGTATGCAAATTTAATTACGCGCAAGCGACGTTGGTTTCATATAACTTGATCTTTGAAAATCTATTTCATTTCCTTGCAAATTTTCATAATCTCGTAATGATGATTGCAATAATTATTGAATGAAACAAAAGAGAAAGTGCTTCCGATATGGCGAAACGTGACAGATACAATTGTACAAGTAACCATAGCGATATGTTTGTTGCTTAGTTACAGTACAAAGTAGCTAAAAAATGTAAGTATTTAATCAACAACAAGAAATATATTATAAAAGAAACAAACAAACAAAAAAAACAAAGAGTTGTAACACAGATGATGTAACTTGATGATTACGACGAGGAATCGTTTTCTTTTACAGGCAAACTCGAGAGATCCAGTGTGTCGAGAGGCGGCGTGACTTGGACGGAGTAGTGGATCTTCTTGCTCTTGAACAGGCTGTAGCTGTTATCGAAGGTGACCGTGTCTGAAACAAATGACAACGACGATCAAACAGTTGAAAGTTTGATCGATGATGACTTACAGGTGGCCGGGGATTTGCAGGAGAGAACTCCGGCGACGTCCATCTGATGCGAGGCGACCCTCCGCAGCTGCACCGCCTCGTGGACGACGCCCTCTTCGTCCCTGCAGCTCACGCCGAATCTGATGTCGTGACCGTCGGTACGGAATTCCCACTTCAGGAAGCAACCCTCGTCGGCAACGATGAAATCCAAACTGATCTTAGCGCCCTTCTTGATCGTCTCCTGCACGAAATCCTTATCGTCCGGAAGCTTCTCCAGGTTCTTCTTGTAGTAAGATTCGGGCACTTTACCACCCAACTTCACCTGATCAACAAATCAACACTCAATTTAGTTTCAAACACTTCACCGCAATTTCACCGATAACTCAAGAACCAATCGAGATATAACAATAAATTTACAATGAATCGAAAGATAAAGAAATAACGAACATAATTGATTCTAAGGTCGTGATTGTAAAATCGTTACTTTAGCCAGAAATCAGCTTCAAACTTGTATTTACTTTTTCGCATATATCTTAAGCAATAAACGAGTCATCAAGAAACTTCGATAATCAAATTGAAGCTAAAGAAATAATAAATAATAAATTTTGATTTGAACAATTTTACCTTGGACGGACATTTCGGGTTTCCATCCGGATCGACCATGCTGCCGCCCCAGTGTTGCGGCAGCTGCTCCGGATCGATGTTCTGCAGAATCACTTTCTGCCACTTCTTCGGGTCATTCTTGAAGATGTTTATCTTGCTTATGGTGTACTCATCGATGAACCTTTTGATCACGCTGTACGCAATTGAAAACACTCTCGGCGCTGAAGAGAAGAGAAAAACAGTAATTACACAATCATCATCATCATCATTAGTTTGGATCAAGTTACCGTTGATGATGTAGCAGACTCTGAGGATCTCCGGGTAATTTGCTGCGTACATCTGCAGCAAGGAAATCACGACTTCCGTGGCTGCAAAAAAAAAACAACATCAATTATATAGAAATCTCTCGTTAATTACATATGAAATTGCGTTTTTTTTTTCACAAATTGCAGCATTTAATTGAGAAATTCACGATGATCGAAGCACGTTTTATATACGTAAAACCAATTTGAAAAAGTCATTTAAAAACTTCAATTTCAAATTCGATTTGCGAAGAACTGTTAAGAGATGGATTTGAGATTTGAACGTATTCTGATTATGCGATCTGTCTTTAATGATAATCGTTGAAAATTGTTACCAGGTCTCCAAGTGTACGGGCGCAAATTGAAGTTTTCCAAGTCGAAGATGAGAACGCATTCCGTGCCGTTCTTCTCCGCCGCCAGATCGAGGAGCTTCTCCAGCAGCTGTATCGTGTACCTGATCAAATCCTGTCTACTGACCGAATGCAAGAGTCCGACAATGTCGACTCCTTGGATAGGAACAATGTAAACTGGAAACGAACAATTAGTAAAGAAAATTTGCACACACAGCGATTCAAAAGTTACTTGGGAAATCGTCTTTGTCGAAGCCGCAAATCCCCGAAGCCACGTATTTGGTGATCACCTCTGGAGGAACCCAAGTCTTCAGTCCATCGTCCACTTCCCACTGTTGCCTCCAATTCATCGACTACAACAGCGAAAAAAGAGAAACAAACAGTTAAAGTTACGAAAATCTATTGCAGTTTTCGCAAATATCTCTTAAACTAAACGAAATCAAAGTAAAAGTATTAAAGATTAATTAAAGCCTAATAAATTCTGATTCAAATAAGCGTATTCACAATATTGAATTATTATCGGTATATGAGATAATCACTGTTAAAGTTGTCTCTGTTAAATTTTGATTTATCTTAAATATCTCTTAAACCAGTCAACGTACAACGAAACTTTAACGCTTGTTTTAAAGGTGAACGAGCAAGGAATGCAATTAGTTAAGTTAGAAGATGGTTAAGCTTACTTCTCGGAACATTTTCTCTGCGGCCTCGACGTTCCAACTCCTCGCTGCAATTCAAAAACAAACAAAATTTCAATTAATTGTACGTGAAAATCGATGGATTGATGAGATAGAACAAGAAATAGAATTGAATCGTAGTTACCTCTGAGCCATCTCAGCAGGAAAGCGTCGTTGTGCTTCGGTTTGATCAAGTCCTTGACATTGTGACGAAACTGAAGAGAAGAAAATGCAAAAGAAAATTTAAATTTGTTTAAGAAATGATTACGTGATGATACAAAAAAATTGTGGTTTAATTAATTAAATCGGTAAAATCAAGGTGGCCCATTGACCGAGAAAAGCGAGGTCGTAAAACAAAAGCGAAATTAGAATGTGTCAATTGTTGTTGCTGCTGTTGTTGACTGCTCGTTAAGTCGTTGTTACATCGAAGTTTTCTATTCTTGGGAAATTCACCGGGTAAGTTGTATCAATTAAAAAAAAGTAAAGTAACGTTTTCTTAATTATCACTTTATAATAATTATTATAAAATGATATTATAATAATTATTATAATGACGATGCACACGGACAGTTCGGTCACGTGCGTAAATTCCAACCAATTCGAGACGAGCAGGTTGTTGCCATGGCAATATTAATTAGTTTGTTTATTTGTTTGCGAAATGTCGATGTCGGAGTTTTGAATGTTGCTTCTTTTCGAGTGATTATTTTTATTAATGTATTTGTAATATTTCGTTTTTATCGCCTGATGGAGACGTCCGAGCCTTCGACCGATGCCAAACATCTGGTCGGCCCGAGGGAAGTCATCGTCTTGGAGGTGTCGGATAGAGAGGATTCTTCCGTCGGAGGGTACGGTTACGACGCTTTTCGATTGTTTGTTGATTGATGATTTTGTTTTCAGTTCGTCGGAGGACGAGGAGAAGATCCCGATTTCCAAGGATAAACCACCGGAATACTGGCACATCCAGAAGCTGGTCAAGTATTTGAAGTCTGGCAATCAGACGGCGACGGTGGTGTCGCTCTGTTGCCTCAAAGATCACGATTTAACGAGTCAGATCAATCAGTGCGCGATACAGGTTAGTCGAAATCGATGCAATTGTCCAGTTGTTGATTCAATTGTTTGAAGGATATCGGCGGTCTGGAGATCTTGATCAACTTGCTGGAGACGGACGATTTGAAATGCAAATTGGGAACGTTGAGCGTCCTCACCGAGTTGTCGCAGAACATGGAGATCAGGAGGTGCATCACCGACTTGGGTGGGATTCCGCTGCTTCTAAAGAATCTGACGATCCCGGCGCGCGATTTGCAGATTCACGTGGGCGAGACTCTTTACAATGTCGCGCAGATAAGTAAGGCGCGGAAGCACGTGCGCAAGTACAACGGTATAGAGAAGCTGGTGGATCTGCTGGATATCAGCGAGCATCTGCTGCTGACGCCTCTGGAGGAGCTGAACGCTGACAGTCGTTTGTGCGTGGGAGTGGTGCAGGCTGCGGCGAGAGCTTTGTGGAGCGTGTCGAGGAGCAGCAAGAATATTCAGGTCATGATGAAGAGCGGCATCATACCTCTGATAGCCAGATTGCTGCAGTGCGTATAATTATTAATTATCGTTTGATATTTCTTGACGAAAAGCTTATTTGCAGCTGCGTCCACATGGGGGTGATTATACCGAGCGTCGGGGTAATAGCGCAATGCTCCAACGATTCCAGCTATCAACTGGCTATACAAACGGAAGGGATGATCAAAGACATCGTCAAGCATCTCGCCAATCCGGTAATTTTCAAGTTAATACGAAAGTATTCAATGAATTTTAATCGTTTACTGTTCAGGATGAGCCTCAGCTGAGGAGGTATTGCGCCGAGATTATATTCAAGTGTTCCGAGGACGCGATGACCAGGGATATGGTGAGACAGGCGGGCGGTTTGGATCCTCTGGTGACGATGGCCAAAGACGTCGTTTCCAGGTCCGTTTCATTTATTCGCTATTAATTGATTCAATTAATTATTTACTTTTCTTAAGGGAGGACAAGAATTTGCTTGCTGCTGTTACCGGTGCTATTTGGAAGACTGCCATTAGCAAGGAGAACGTGGAGCGTTACGAGCAGATGGCCACGGTGCAGGTGCTCGTGAAGCTTCTGGAGAACGTGGACGAGAAGGAGGAGGTTCTTTCGAACGCGGTCGGTGCGCTCTCCGAGTTTGTGCGGCACGATCATAACAGGGAGACGCTGAGGAGATGCAACGGCATTCCTTTGGTGGTGAATCTGCTCAATTACACGTTTCCACCGCTTCTGGAGAACGTCCCGATGGTTATTAGAGAGTGCGCCAAGGAGCCGGCTTCGATGCGTATCATCGAGCAGCTGGATGGAGTCCGGCTGATTTGGTCTTTGCTCAAGAACAGTTCGCACAAGGTATAATGCAATTGCATCAATTGTTGTTAAACTGTTTATTATAAATTAGTGCTTTTAGGTTCAAGCTCACGCCGCTTGGTCTCTAGTGCCTTGCATTAAATACGCGATGGATTCTGGTGAGATGGTGCGAAGCTTCGTCGGCGGTTTGGAGTTGATCGTGAATTTGCTAAAGTCCAAGGATAACGATGTGCTGGCTTGCGTTTGCGCCGCCATCGCCGAGGTGGCCAAAGACACGGAGAATCTTGGAGTCATCACCGATCACGGTGTCGTTCCCATGCTGGTTCACCTGGTGACCACGCAGGATACAAAGCTTCGAGAGCATTTGGCCTCGGCTATAGCTTACTGCTGCGCGTGGGGTTCCAACTGCAAGATGTTTGGAAGGTATGTTGCCTCAATCGATTGTAATTGAAGATGAAGTAATTTGTGTGTATTTTTGTCATATCAGGTTGGGAGCGATAACGCATTTGGTCGGTTACATGGCTTCGAATGATGTTAACACGCACAGGAATACGGCTGTGGCTTTGTTCTATCTCTCGAAGAATTCCTTCAACTGTATAACAATGCACGAGTGCGGCGTGGTGCCGTTCTTGCTGCGATCCGTCGCTTCCGAGGATAAGGAACTGCAGCAGGCGTGCGCCGGATGCTTGGCGAACATCAGAAGACTCGCCTTGGAAGCGGAGACTTATCATCTGATTACGCGCGGAAAACCTCCGGAGGAGTCTTCGTCTTCGTCCAGCGAAGAGAACAACGATTAGGTGAAAGGTGAAGCAGCCTTTCCATTAATGCAAAGAAGAAGGAAAGGGGGGGTCGGCTAATTACACGCCACTTATCCGTTAAACACCGTAATTTCGTTTCATTAGCTCGTTGTTTACGAGCGATGTCTTTTAGATTCGATTTGCATTGGACTGAATCGGTGACACTGCAATTCCATGTTTTACAGAGAGGATTCATTTCTTGAAGTTAACACCGCATATTTCAAAGATTAGTTAAAACATGAAACTACACTTTGATTAGTTTCTAACGTAATTTATAATTTCTTGTTCAGACAAGAAATCGAGTGAAATGCATTTGGACTGCATCGCGAGATTAATAATAGTAACCATGGGAACAACACTTTCGTAAATCTCCTTCCTTCCTTCCGTCCGTCCATCAAATCCGATTAGTCATGGAAACAAAAGACGAAAACAACAACAATAACAAAAGAAACAAATGGAATAGGTAAATTGATTTTGCGATTCCAATGAACTCGAGCGGATTTCTCTTCAACTCCGTTTCGATGCGACGACGACGACGACAAAGTTGAAGACGTACGAATATCATCATCTTCTTGCAAATTGGAAATCTCTTTTTTCGCACGAGATCTCTTCAATAACTGTGTCATCATTATAAAAAACGATGCAATTCTATTTGTTGTTGTTGTTGCAAAGAATATAATCTTTCCTTCCGGTTATTTGCGGTTGCAATTCGATTAATTAACTCTATTCTTGACTTTCACATCCAATCAAATCGAATCGATGCCGACAATTTAAACATTTTGTTTCAATAAGTAGACTTAACATTTTAAGAAAAAAGAAATTGTCAAGTGTCAATAGTCACGCTCTTGATTTTCATGGGCAATGCGATAGAAAGTGTGGAACAAAAATTAATCTACGAATTATCTTTAATACCTACTCGAGATAACGAAATATTTTATATAAGTGAGCAATTGATGATTTAACGGATCAACGCGCATTATTTTTTATTTAAATTCATTTGTTTGCTCGGAAATCGTTTTCGTTTGCAGATGATTATTACGAGTGTTTCCATGGCCGCGCTCGATAATGATCGAGTAAAAATTGTTGCTAATTGATACGACTCGCATGTTTTTTTTTTCTCTCCATGGAAACGACGATTATTTGTTTTGTCTCCCATTACGATTCGCAATAACAATTTGCATCCTTTCATTATTTCGTTTTCCTTCATTTCTTCGTATCGTTGATGCAATAATTATCGAACAAGACAAATAACGGCAAAGTGCACATCCTTGCACACAACCTGTGCCTGCTATTGAAAAAATATGTGCGTCTTGCTCTCGCTTTTGTCACGTAATTTGTCCGGTTTTCGCAAACATATTTTTTTTTGTTTTCTTGCTACTAGATTTTCTACATTTTAATTGTTTCTCTTTTGTTGTTACCGGAGAAAAACCAGTTCATTCTTATTTCGAAATTACTTTTTATTTAACTTTCTTATTAGATATCTTTTTTTTTTGTAATCGTAATGGAAGAATGAATGTAGCGAGAGTGTAAAGGTTATCTTTTGCAAGAAATGCACTCTGCGAGTCGTTAAAGTCGTAATCGTTTTGTGCGAGCTGAACGAGGAAAAATTTTGGTATTCAGGAAAGTTTTTTCTATAATGGTTAAATAATGATCCAAATAGTGATTAAATTTTTTGGCGATTATCGAATTGAAGTTTCGTAATGGAGCGGATCCAACCAAGGTGATCAAGAGTTGCTTCTACTACCTCTAATTCTTTCCTGTTTCAGTGTCGAAGAAAAAACAGAAAATGATTAAATTTGAACAAAACATGCCGTGCAGAGTAAACAAACAAAAGATACGAACGAAAACAATCGACTTGAGTTGCTAGGCGATTGATAAATAATTGTAATTTGTTGGAGGATAAAAGTATAGCAGGATGCAACGGCGAATCGGGGTAAGTTTAAAAAATGAAATCACTTTCTCTACTTTTTTAGTTTTTACTAAAGCGCGAGGTGTTTAAAATTAATTAGCTGCAACGGGTAATCATCGCTTATGAATCGTTCGTTATTTGTGATTAGAAAGTTTTGTTTTTACGTTTACACGCGCGCACACTTATATATTTAATTTCTAGTCTGATATTTGGTCAATTGTTTTCGCTGAGATTCTTACCTTCATCAGCGCAAATTTTTGGTCATCTTCCAAAGGGATTTTCGATTTGGCAGTTGACATCTCTTTGTTGTTGTTTGTTTGAAGATGTTATGCGTTTGGCAATTGTTTAATTACTGATGGGAGACACGAGGAAAACACCTGAACGCGAGCGAACGTCGAATCTGACTAGCCCACTATTTAGACTGCGCGTTTCACTCTCTGTGTCTGACTGTGTGTGTGTTTACCAATACGAGTGGATCGTCCTACTCCTCCTCCTGTTGCCGCTACCACTACTACCTTCTTCCTTCTATCGTTCGTAGGTCAATCCACCGCTCACCTTGCAGGTTAAGACAGATTTGTTGTTGTTGCTATAACAACAACAATAATAATAATATTAATAAAAGACGTTCGCAGACGTCAAAACAATTTGTTTTTTTTTTTTTCGGTTGCTAAGTGATTTCAACATGTTTAATTAACGAATATAGAAGTTTTATAGTTTCGTGGAAAAATTTATAACAGAAATGACCGAAAATTATACAAAAAAATAGCTTTATTTTATTATTATTACAGTTCTTCAATAATTTGTATGTTACTTAGATATTGATCTGCTGCTCTAAGTAGGAAGAAGTATGATGTGTATATATAAAAAAAACAACAACAAATAATCGGTATTTGTTTGGGGGGGGGAATGAATTGCACTAGTTTTGTATGTGTGTGCTTGTTTGTTTGTTGTGGTTTGAATTGGTGTCTTTTTGGTGCAGCTTCATCCTAAGACGAAAAAAACGTTGATTGATTTCGAAAGATAGCCACGGGGTTGGAGATCGTAGTAAATTCAACAGGTTTATAGCACAATTTACAAAGGGATGAGATCTCTCTTTTTGATCTACACAATAATAATTATTATAATAATATACAGGTGGTGAATAGAGAGAGAGAGAGATTCGAGTATGAGTATTAATATCAAATAGTTGTTTTCCCCTCTAAAGGAAATAAAGGCAATATATGTATATATATATATATACGTTAGCTGACACTTTTCCTAATTCTTAATCATCAATTCGTTTAAGTATATAAGCCATTGCGATAATGGCTAGATCAACAACAACGAAAGAAAAAAGAACATAACTAAACTAAAGTTCCCGTTTCTCAATGTTAAATCACTTGGATGTAGATATATCAGAGTTAATGTGTTTAAATTAATATGTGTATAAGAGAGATAGAGAAAAACATACATATATATGTATGTAAGTTTCCCTTTGTTTTGTTTTTTGATCGTTCGTGTTTTCCTAACAATATTTGGCTTACGCAATCAAGTCTTTGGCACTTATAAAATTACCCTACACCTAAATCAACAATGGCTTTGAAAAGTCACCACCACACGCCTACTATTCTCGTAGTCGTAGGCGGTTCTCACGCGGGCGCGCAAAGAGAAATCCACGTAGGCGGGGGGCGGCAAATTAAAATGGGAAGGCGTCGTCGACCGAACTGGCAAATGTGGGTGGGCGGGGCGTCGTATTGAGTAAGCGTGTCACAGATCACAGATCGGGTCACGGCGATGCACCGTGACGAAGGCATTCGTCGGTATTTTTTCTGCTCCTCTCCTCGTTCATCATCGATATCCGTCGATCTTGCATTTGGCGAGGAAACGGCTCAGGCGTCGAGAATGGAGGAGGCGGCAAGCTCCACGTTCCAGTTGACCCTCTGCAACACTCGCTCGCATTGCTCCCTCTCGGCCAATCCCAGTCTGCATAGTCAAATTGTGGGCGGTTAGTTGAATGTGATTGGTCAATGCATATAGCGCACTCACCTGACCAACTTGTCGATCTTGATGTGTCGTATGGAGGCGTTCAGGTCCCAACCTTTCGATTGAAGAACCGTGACGCACTCGTCGACGGTCACATCGGGGACGGCGTCCTGAAGCTGGCTGACCTTGTTCTCCCTGTACTCTTGCGTCATCAATCTTTCAGCGTCGAAGCTCAACTATAAGAATTGAATTGATATATAACTCATATACAAGTGTTGCAATGAGACTGACCTGTGATTGCTGCAGTCTGCGCTGCATCTGCTGCATACTTATGGGCGTCGAGGGTGCCGGTCTGTGCGGTTTCAGTAGATCTTCTGGTACCATGCTGTACTCGTTCTCGGGAATCTCCGAGTAAACCTGATCCTCGTACGTGGTGCTCACCGCTTTGTAAATATCGTTGCGTCTGTTGTAGGCGTTCGAGCTCTCGTAGACGGACGAGTAGAGTGGACTGTTGTTGTAGATGGCGTAGTGATTGTTCGACTTGAAACTGCCGAACTCGTTGGAGTAGACGTTGCTGACGCTTCCGTTCGGCACTTTCGGACTCAGCGGCAACAGATTGCTCTGCTTGGGCAGCACCTTCGGCGGCGGCGGTTCGATGGCAGGAATTTCGGGCGATCGCAAGTACAGGCATCTCTCCAAATCGGCGACGAACTTGCCGCTATCCACCGGTTCTATGTGCAAGTTCTTCTGCGGCATCACCATCACCGGCTGTTGCGGCTGCTGCTGCTGCTCCAACTTGATGGCATTCATCAAACTCCTGCTGGACACCGTTTGCTCCGATTGCTGCAGGTGATGGTTACTCGAGGAGTAGAAGCTCTTGTCCGGAGACGTCGTCTGACTGCTGCTCCGACACTCGTTCAAATAGTTCTGCGAGCCCAAATCCGTATCTACGACTTGTTGTTGTTGCTCCAAATTGCAACTCGCGAATACAGACGAAGTATCGAACGGATCCATCATGTTCAATCCGGCGGTATTGCAGTAAGATGGTGGAAAGCTGTAAGGCGGCGGAGATGCACCATCATCTAAAAACCAACAATTGTTTAATGAATAATTAGATCAATTATTGGATTGTTACCGTTCTCTGGGACATCTATTGGTTCATCCATGAGCGACACCCTGGACATGCCGGTCTCCAACGCGGTGCACCTCATCGGCGTGTTACTGCTGCTCTCAGGTGAAATGTCTATGAGGACACCTTCGGTGTTCGGCGCCGGCGGTCTCTCCGGTTTTCGTCGAACGCTTCCACCATCCGAAGCAGCACCCCGTTCGTTGTTCAACTTTCTGTAGTTGAACTGCTTCTCGGATGGTCGTCGCAACGAACCTGTGGCTGAAACGATTCCAATAAATCTCCGTTCGCTCCCCCCCAAAACGGTTAAGTAGAAAACTCACAATGTTTGTAGACTTTCTGGATGGCGGAGACGCTTTGCAAGGTGGCGCTGGACGTCGATGAAAAGGACGTCGGACGTGTGGAAGCGGCGCTCTCGTACGGCATCCCGATGATGTCCGACGGTTCCATCGGATTCCTCAGGTACATTTCGTCGATGTACGAAGGACTTCCCCAGGAATCCCCGAACGCCGATCCGTGGCCCGTGTGTATGAACGAGTTGTGCAGCGGTTTGCTGATGTCCTCGCCCTGCTTCGGTCTGTTCGGATTCACTATGCATCTGCAAAAGAAAATAATTCAAGAAGTAAAGATTCGGCAATGAAAACGAAGAAATAATGTTAATATTCCAATGAAGCAACCTGATGGAATAAGCGTATACCTTGGGAATATTCCGATTTCGAACGTCCTCTGGCTCTGACCTTTCCACCAGTAGAGATCAGCGCTGCCCTCGATGATTGCCACCTCGTCGCCGACATTCACTTGCAGCTTATCCGCATCGTCCTGCTTACTCAACACCTAAAATGCAAACACAATAATTACATCTCGCACTCAAATCAATTAGCAGCGAGCACTGATTGATCCATGTTTAATATTGTTTCAGTGTCAATTAACAGTACTAATTATGTTTATAACTGATCTGTCAACAATTACGTAATTGAAATTGTTTGGTTTTGTTACCTTCATGATGGGCGGTTTCGTTTTCCTGAAGAACTCCTTCAGCGTGGCGAAGGTCGGTCTGTCCTGCGGATTCCTCGCCCACGTTTGCAAGAGAACTTCGTATATTTCCAGAGGACACGAATCCGGATAATGCAACCTCTCACCTTCTCGGTCGATCTTCCTCAAAATCTCGGAACCTTTACAAATAAAAGTAAAGTTAGTTTTTGCAATGTTGAATTCGTTGAATTTACATACCGATCAAACCCATCCACGGGTCTTCGCCGAATGTGAACATCTCCCACACGGTAACGCCGAACATCCAAACATCGGATGCGTGCGAGAATTGTCTTGAGCGTAGCGATTCTGGAGCGCACCACGGGAAAGGCACCTTCTTGTGCTCCGTCATCACGTAGCAGTCTTCCTGCTGGGGGAGCGCTCTCATCAGCCCGAAATCGCCGATCTTCACCTTATCCACGGAAGCGAGAAGCACGTTTCTGCACGCCAAATCTCTGTGCAGGAATCGCTTGCATTCGAGATAAGCCATCCCGGTTGCAACTTGAGAGGCGTACTCGCACAGCAGATTGACCGGAGTGTGGGTGCACTGCTTCCTGAGGCAGTCGAGGAGAGATCCCAGTGGAGCCAGCTCGGTCACCATCATCATCGGTGCAGTCAACACGATCCCATACAACCTGCAGAATCGAACGATTATTATTTGTTAATTAACGTGTTAATTAATTCGTGTAATTTACCTTATGAGATTTGGATGGCTGAGTATGTGCATGGATTGCACCTCTTTGATGAAATCGTCGAAGACTCCTGGTTGCGTCAGAGCGTCCGCTTTGAGCACCTTAACGGCGACCGGCATGCTTCGACCCGTGGGGCTCGTCCATTCGCCGCGTTTGACGACGCCGAAGGAACCGTCGCCCAGTTTGACGCCCAACGTGATATCCCGTTCCTGGATCAAGCAGGTCAAACTCAGCGAGAGCGATTCCGGCTCCGCTTGCGTCTTCTTCGAACCGCTCTTCTGCGCGCTAGGTATAATCTTTGTCAATAAATTCTTCTTCCATTGCTGCCCCTTGCGTTTCTTCACCGCGTCCAGGAGTCTCCGTATACCTGGAAGGAAATTTCGGTTTGAATCAGTAATGTTTTTTTTCAATAGGTCGATGATGTTTCTCACCTGGTCTGCTGATTCCGATCTTCTCTAAGTCTTCCTGTTTCACATAGTCGAAATGGTCCAGCCTGGTGATCTGGAGGTCATCCCTTATCGGCGTCACGAACTGAGACAGCTGCACGTCCTGCAGCAGCTCGAACAGCCACTCCACACCTTCATCGCACATCCTGGCAACTGCAAATTTGCACAATTACATAAAATGCATTATTTGGCAATTCGACGCCCCCACCGCGAGACGTGATCGTCTCTGTCTGCTGTGTGCGTGTTGTATGTGTGAATGTGTGCAATTAATCTAGAGGAGGAAAGTGAAATGATTGTGTCTGCTGGGAAGCCCTAACCTTGACTCGTACGTGTGCGTTTGTTTGCGTATTGATGTGTGTGCAATAGAAAGAGTTCATTGTGTTGCATGGCAGAAACAGATGTTGTTGCCTCAGCGCGACAATCGACGAGAGCAGCCTCTCATCAATGCCGCTTCAATCAAGCAGGCGACGACTTCCTGTTTTGCGGCCGTCATGGCAATCACGGAGATAAACAAAAAAAAAGACGATCGTAATTGTGTTCTTACCTAATCTTCCGTTGCTTTTCTGTTGAAGATTTCAGATGGGTACGAAGCTGTTGTTAAACGTATGGAAGAGATGCTGTGATGACGACATTCGCACTTTTCTTATTTCGCACCATCAAAAAATAACACGACCTCACCGACACAGGTCGCCGTCCGTCCGTCTCTTCACTCCACCCCCTACCGACTTGCAACAACAACAACAACAAATAACGACCTGCTGCTAGTTTGCATCTGCTTTCATTTGTCACACTGGTCGAACGCAACCAGCTGTGCAACGCTGCAAGCATTTTCGATACGTAGGCAACCGCACTCGCATAATCGAAATTTCATCAATTATTCAAATAATCGGCAATTTACAGAGAAAATTATACATGTAAACGAATCTTCAATATCCAGACATTGGAATAAGTGCAAATTCTAGTATCTAATTTCATCAATTTCACAGTAAATTACTGGTAAACATTACCTATAAATTTTGACAGTTCTCTGATAAAAACACATCAACTGAATTTCTTCTGGGATTCAAACAACTAACGTTTATCAAAGAATATAGATTATACGAATTAATCTTGAATATTCAAAGATTGAAATGAGCATAAATTCAATTAGCTAATCGCATTATTTTCATGGTAAATTACTCTCAAACATTACCAATCAATTTTGACATTTCTCCGATAAAAACACATCAATTGATTTTCTTCTGGGATTCAAACAACTAACGTCTATTAAAGAATCCAGATTATACAAATTGATCTTCAATATCCAAAGATTGAAATGAGCATAAATTCTATTGGCTAATCGCATTAGTTTCATTACAAATGACTCTTAAACATTACCAATCAATTTTGACATTTCTCCAGTAAAAACACATCAACTGAATTTCTTCTGGGATTCAAACAACTAACGTTTATCAAAGAATCCAGATTATACGAATTGATCTTGAATATCCAAAGATTGAAATGAGCATAAACTCTATTGGCTAATCGCATTAGTTTCTTTACAAATGACTCGTAAACATTACCGATCAATTTTGACATTTCTCAAATAAAAATACATCAACTGAATTTCTTCTGGGGTTCAAATAACTAACGTTTATCAAAGAATCCAGACTATGAGAATTGATCTTGAATATCCAAAGATTGAAATGAGCATAAATTCAATTAGCTAATCGCATTAGTTTCTTTACAAATTACTCGTAAACATTACCAATCAATTTTGACAGTTCTCTAATAAAAACACATGAATTGAATTTCTTCTGGGATTCAAACAACTAACGTTTATCAAAGAATCCAGATTATGAGAATTAATCTTGAATATCCAAAGATTGAAATGAGCATAAACTCTATTGACTAATCGCATTAGTTTCATTACAAATGACTCGTAAACATTACCTGTCAATTTTGACATTTTTCCAATAAAAACGCATCAATTGATTTTCTTCTGGGATTCAAATAACTAACGTTTATCAAAGAATCCAGATTATGAGAATTGATCTTGAATATCCAAAGATTGAAATGAGCATAAATTATATTGGCTAATCGCATTAGTTTCATTACAAATGACTCGTAAACATTGCCAATCAATTTTGACATTTCTCAAATAAAAACACATCAACTGAATTTCTTCTGGGATTCAAACAACTAACGTTTATCAAAGAATCCAGATTATGAAAATTGATCTTGAATATCCAAAGATTGAAATGAGCATAAATTCTATTGGCTAATCGCATTAGTTTCATTACAAATGACTCGTAAACATTACCTATCAATTTTGACATTTCTCCGAAAAAAACACATCAACTGAATTTCTTCTGGGATTCAAACAACTAACGTTTATCAAAGAATCCAGATTATGAGAATTGATCTTGAATATCCAAAGATTGAAATGAGCAAAAATTCAATTAGCTAGTTGCATTAGTTTCATGGTAAATTACTCTCGAACATTACCAAAAAAAATGTATATTATAAAAATAAATGTAAATAAATGTGATGATTGGATTATAGAAAAACAGAGTTCTTCCTGTTGGAGCAAGAAGAATGGTTTGCGATAGGCGAAGAGGCACTCAGGTTATTTGCTTGGAAGGTGTTGAGGAACGAACTCTCCGATAGTATGGATCTCCTCTGCCTTTGCTTCTTGCTGCTGGAGATCTCGAAATCTGCACCTAAAAAGAAGAGAGTGAGGAAAGTGTCCGGAGCATAAATGAGCATAATCGTACCTGGATTTTCATTCTCCGTTCCATCATTTGACAGCAACGTTTGCACATTGGATATCAACGATTCGCAATCATCGTGCACCTGCTTCAAATCGACGATCTGCTTGGTGGCATCTTTGATGAATCTAGTGGTTTTACCCTCATCCAAATCGACCGGACAATCAATAGAATCGGAGTACTGCATTACATCTTTAATGAGAGCCATCATTCGCTGCAGATTGCGGCCGCTCTCCTTGGACACGTTCATGTAATCACTGTTCTCATTCTTGAGGATAACTTCGAGCTCCTTTCCGTGGCTGCTGATGAAACTGCTGGATTCTTTGATTTCGCCGAGACTCGTTCTGTACTGATTCCTTAACGATCTCAAAGTGTTCAATCGATCGCTGAGAGCTCTCTGCTTCTTCTTCAGCAACAAAACCTGCTTCTTGTTCTCTAACTCTTCCAGTCTCTCCAAATAACTGAAGTAGTTCGTCTCATCCATGTTTGTGACTGCAATTTGAATCGAAGGAAACCGTCTGTTGATCAACGGTTTTTCATTATTATTATTTTGTTGGTGACATGTGAAGTTATGCAACTCAAACAACATTGAAATCGGTTTTCTTTCTTAAATTTTGTAGTTTATTTAGTAAATAGCACATTGAATGCGTATTCATGTCTTCTAATCCTAATAGTAATAATAATAATAATCGATTTGCTTGAAATAATATTTCAAATACTTAACTATAATAATCATTAATTTACAATTGTATAAATTAAATACATTGGAATAGATTACATAAAATACAAGCAAAGGATTATATGTAATAAGTATCATATCCGATGCATATTTTCTATATAAGTCAATGACACAGAGAGTACGAGAGTAGCGTTTTGGGATTGTTTTGTTTTTGTTGTTGTTTTGTTTTGGTCTCTTCCAGATAGAGTTGATGATTGCGAAGACCAGATCCCTACTTTGTTTGTTTTGTTTTTGGCGAAGATTCGTGTCGTCTTCTTCGTCATTTGCAGCAATAGCATTGCCCTCCTTAATTTATCTATTTGCATGAACAATTTATTCAGTCTTCATCCGTTTGGTGGGCAGCTCGTTGCTGTGCGAGTTCGAATCCTCGGAGAAGGTGATGTGCGAGAGGTCGGTGGGTCCCTGGGAGTCGCTCACCGTCGAAAAACCTAAACCAACTGACGAATTACTTTCTTTAGTCCTACAACATCGTTAGTCTCAAATCGATGAGAGATGAGACGATAAGTTACATGTGTTCGAGTCCTCGGCCATGCTGAAATTCGAGTTCGAGGAGTCCGTCGCAGGCTTCCTCATCTGATGGCTGTTGTTCTCCTTGTTGTGCTCCCTTTTCAGCTTCTTCGGTTCCCCACTGACAACAGGCACCCATTTGTAGATCTTCATGCTTGTGTCACCGATGGTCACCCATTTCTTCTCCCTGCAAGTCAATAACAACGTAAAGTAACGCATCAAGTTGGCTCAATGTGTAAACAATTGCTACTCTACCAATGCCTGACCCTCTCCACAGCCTGCATGATCTTCTTGATGTCATCTTTGGCCCTGCTACGTGTTTCCGCGCGGATCGATCGAGACATCCTTCCTTCCTACCTTCCTGCAGTCTCTACCGCACACTTCTTTCCGGCAACAAAGATCCAATTGATTCGATGCGGCAGCACAAAAGTCGGAGCCCCTTCAAAAAAACAACAACACAAACAACGAAACGAAAGTCGTCGATCCCTGACGTTAACCACTGCTGTTGCTAATATGTTGGCACCTCTGCAATGGCCGCCGTAACAAACCCTTACATCCCAAGATTAAATACACATTTATACAACAAACACACGAAAAACTAAAGATAAAATTAGAATTAACTAAGCATTTACAATGAAAAGCGATAAGAGATTAGTCACAAACGGCGAATTAACTTTTATTCTTTTTCCATATCCTTCAAATGCTGCCACCTAGCGGCTGCGGCTCACATCATTTTTTAATTTGTTAATTATTCATTACTTCAGAATTACAGCCAAACGGCTAAAACCAC